GTGCACACAATTGGTAATCAGGACATGACGAGACACCAGACGTGACACATACCTCCTCTGAAGGTGAGAAAATGAAAAACAATGCTATGGCTTCACATACATATATACGTGTGAATAGTTTTTTGTGGCCCTTTTCACAGAAATAGGTTACCATGGAAACAAGCTGCAACGGCAACATTTACTTAGGTCATATCAAAAACAATGGCCTGGAATTCAACTTGAATATTAGCCTTTTCTGTTGTCAGCTGGAATATAACCTTCGGATGTCAACACTAACATACCCGTATTACTACAGAAAAAAAGCTTTTGCTTTTTCGATTGTAATTGAACTCAACAATATATTCTTTAACCAAATCTTTATGATAATAGTTGAGACATCAACCACCAGTCAAGTGCTATAGATGTTATGGAAGTTCTCTATCAACTACTACAGTACTTTCCAGTTGATTCCTTCCTATCATCTTGTTTAATTCTATCTGGGATCATATCATAAAAAGAATGAGATGGGACTGCCCCACCAGATATGAATAATTGATGCTGCAGGATGCTGCGTTTCCCAGGAAACTGCGCTGGTCTACAAGATCATTGCCTTGTGAAAGCATATGTCGAATGCTAAATAGATCATATTCCAGAGGAAAGATTTATTAGCATTTATTTAGTCTGAAATTTGTTGTTCAGTTGAAATAGCCATTACCGTAATGTTGATTAAAAAATCTAAAAAATACAGACGTTTGAATAACAGGAGAGGATAACGATACTGAGGATAATCATAATGCTGTCCCTTTAAAAGGCACGGACGGGGTTCGAACCCGCGATCTTCGGTTTACGAGACCGACGCCTTACCACTTGGCCACCGCGCCTGCGCTGCGGAGCAGCGGTCTTTCATTTTATGAATCATACGTCACGTGGTGTGTGCCAAATTACTTTTTCTTTATCTTTACTTTTCTTTTTCTATAGTTCTCAAACTATAAATGTAAAATAATTCAGTCGCAAGAGGGTGCCATTGTCATCTCTACGCGTAAAGCGCCTTGCAGACTCACAGCTCTCTCTGCTTGCGTTGTTGAAAGGGTTAAGGAGTCCACCCATCTATCCATCTATTTTCTATACCGTTTATTCCCAACAGGAGTCGCAGGGGTCGCAATTGTTCGTGCAAAGAAAACCAAACAGCTCGCTGTTAACAGGAATGCTTTTTAACCATTCAATGCTCTTTTGAGGATAAACTTTTCTTATTTGTGTGGGCTGTATGAAAATGAATACTCTTATGATTTAGATCCGGACGAAGAAGACAAAACCATGATATTCTGCAATAAATTGACTTCTCTTTGAAATGGATTATTGCCCAAACCAAGAGGAGAAATACATGTCAATGCATTGAAAATATGAATGCTGTTATGACTGATGTCATACTTGGACATGTTTTGTTGTCATTTTAACACTTATATTTCCAATGTGAAATCAAATTGCAGTTAAAACTGCAAAATGAGCAAACTAACATGAATTTCAATAGATGCCTTTTGTTAAAACAAGCTAACAAAATATGAAGGTACACTTGTCACATATCCACCCATAGAAATGTTCTCAAATTCTAAAATGTGAATTTCTGCCTCAGTGCTCATAATTCCATTTGTTTAATTACACATTCTCCATCTAATTACAGTTTTGCATGTTCTGAGTAATAGATATCCTAGGTCTTGAGTGCAGGGTGAGCTCCACACTCACACTTCTGACATATACAGTCGTCTAACAAAAAAAAGCTTGTGCGAGCAAGCAGTTTTTAATTCAACTATAACGAAAACCAGTTTCCTTTGACCTTCGTTACAAAAAATACAAAAAATGTTGTCTCTTTTAAAGACCCCAAATCAAATAAACTTGATTAAGAGTGCAAATTATGTGAACAATCACCTAAGCATGTCCTATTATCAGTTATCTGTCAGACCTTAGTAGCACAGAAATTTGTTTTGGGTCATAACAGTTGTTTTAATTCATGAAATAAGAAAATATATACAACTTTACTATATGATCTTGTATGTTGTATTGTTTTCTAAGGTTTAAACATTTTTTTTTTCAACAAGCATGGCATGTTCAAGAGCAGAAATAAAAATTTGGATGAATGTCACGATCCAGGCTATTGTGAGTGTCTGACAACACTCTATATCTTTGATGGTGCAGTTTGAAAAAAAAAAACTGGCCATTGTGGGGAAGGATATTCTGGGTCAGACCCTGGTCACAACCAGACATGTGACTGTGAAATCCACTTGAAAGGCAGGCAGCTGATGAAGCTACATTACAAAGGCTAAATCATTTCTCCTATTTTTTTATAAACACTCTTTTCACCCATTGCTCTTTTCTTTTCTCGGCTTTAATCTGCTTATCTGGTCTCTTCTCACAACTTCATACCACAGAGAGAACGTTTTGATGACAAGTTCATTTTGAGTTGGCGCGACTGTGCTTAACCGAACTTTTATCTCTTTGTTTTCATTTCTGAGGCTTAATTTGTGTGGAGAAAAAGGGCGGTTGTTGGGTCTGTTACCATAGTTACAGTATGATTGACCATCATCTGGTCTTTGTTTCCTCCAATAGGGTCGCACAGCTAGTGCTGTAATATGAACTAAAGATGCACATCTTTCAGCAACGCTGAATATGAGAAACAGGTTCATGAGTAACAAAAAATATTGCCTGGTGGCAGACAAGAGACTGCGCCCAGTCATGGCGGACAAGAGAAACAAGATTCGACGAACCAAACGACAGGAGAGGAAGGTGAGACTCTCAGCCATTTTCAAACTGAACTCATTTTGATGATAATTGAAAGAGTTGTGTGGAAAAGACATAGGGGCAGTAAACAAGATGTGCCTTTGATTTCAAACCTTGAAAGCACCAGGAAAAAAACAAAAAAGGAAATGCCACTTTGCAGAAACATTAGCAGAATGAAAGCAGGTTCTGTTCATCCCTATAAACGTAATCTTAAGGATGTCAGAGGGAGTTTGGTTCCAGTTGTTAACATCAAATAATTCTAGCTGAGTTTTGTGACAGAAATAAATGGTTTTAAGGTTTTATAGGATGACACAGCTGTGGGGAAAATATTTTAGAGCAGGTTTGTGGGTTTGAAATATATCCTAAATTATCAGGAATTGATTTGTGAATTGGAAAAATATAATACAGATGTGGCCTTAAAGAGAGTGCCAAAGCCCATCATTGTGAATATCTAAAGAAAAGATTTGGTCATGGACAATGACGGCGGAGCTTTGAGGCCAGGCTTGTTGAAATCAAAGGCCTGAGAGCTGAAATCATTTTTACGGGCTCTCCATGAAATACTGCGAGAAATAAATGTGGTCAGTTAATCTGGAGCTTGGAAAAGGACAACAGTCAGTGCAGCATGTTAAAGCTGCCCCCCTGCTGGGCAGCCCATGAGCCTGTCGATATGATGGTTTGATGTTGGATGGAAAATAAAAGCCCCCCACAACAAACGGTGGGCTGGGACAGAGAGACTGGAACAGAGAAAAAGAGGCTAGAAAGGGAAGAACCACCGACAGATGGACTCTGTTGTGATTAAAGATGGCGACAGTCTTTACTGCAGACTACGAAGGACTATACTGGATCCTTAGAAAAGCGGTGGGAGTTGTCTGCGGCTCAACTGAACAGAACCAAGAACCACACATTAAGGTAAATCATTGGGTCCAATGCCTGCTTTTGTGTCGGGGAGGATGAAAACTGCCGTTAACAGGAACTTCCCATTGTGGTGTGCCTCGTTCTATTATGTCTGCTGGCGTTTTCATGCCAGCACCACACTGTTATGTAGCATCGTCCCGCTCATCAAAACAAAGCATGTCATTTGATTTGATCAGTGGTCGTGAATCCCATGAACAGACTATCAAAGACCACGATTGACTAAACCTTAAATTAACGAGAGTTCGTTGAAGCTGGGAGATGTCAGATGAAGTAGCATTTGTTACATGGTTGTTACACGATTGTTACATAAATGTTGTTGGTATGATATTACCATAGCTAAAACAGGCCTTTGTTTTTGTTTTTTTGTTTTTGTCTGAATGTGGTGCTCTCAAAAAAAAATTATATATATATGAATATATATCTGCAAATTGCTGAATAGTCCGAGTCCAATCTAAGACAGGTTAATCATGGTCTACTCAGCCTGGACAAAAGACAAACCACTAGGACTCCCAGAAATGTTTTCTTAAAGTCTTAAGATTTGCGACATAGCTTATTGGAAGCCCTTAATCAAGATAATGCTTATCACAGCAACAGCTTTTACTGCCTCAGATTTCACCCATAAGCCTTTTTTAACGTTTTCCCCATTGCAACAGCAGTAATTTGAAAACAGTGTCATTAAATTGGTTTATTTCTTTTGTTACACTTTACTTAAAGAGATTTTTTAAAGGCATCCACTTTGAAAAATAAAGAAAAAATCTATTGTGAGCACATAGAGCAGGAGCATTCATTTTAACATCTTAATGGGCCATTGTTGTTCAGAGTCTTCAGCAGAGATAAGCCTATTTCAGCCAAAGCCTACAAGGGAGCCTAAATCCGCAGTGACAGGTGGAACAAAACAGCTCTGAAAGAACTGAACCGGGAGACATGAAGTTGTCCTCCGGTAACATTTGCGATGGTGGAAATGTTTATAAAAAAGAAGCAAACTGCATCTCAATTTCATCATATGGGTTTTTCCCCACTTACACAATAGTGAATATGGTTCCGTAGAAATCAGCACCAACCATTAGTTAAAAGTACAATATGAATATAGAAAACAATGTTTAAAATCTTAGTAATGACTGCTAAACTGGTAAAATGCTGCTTCAGAAGTGTTTTTTATGAACCTGGTGTTGCTTCTAATCCCACGCCTCTGAGATGGAGACAGAGATGCCTCTTCCATTGTTGTTCTGAGTCGCTCACCTGAGCCGGGTGCTTAAGGGCCTTTTGTTTGCTGTTACTGTAGAATAGCAGTTTTCAGACCCTGTTGGGCCTCACTGTTCAGTGGACTCAGTTAAAAAGCCCTCTGGTTTCTTTTCAAATTTCTGTTACTGAAACCAACTTTCCATGCATTTTGCAGCAGCATTCTGTGTTTGCAGTTGGCCGTTTTAGACGAGGTCCCAAAGAGAGGCTGAAATTATTCTCTGTTTTAGGTTTGGTTTCAGGGCTTTATTTTATTGGTGTAAATAAACCTTTTACTTACAGCTTCTACATGCCAAGTACAATCACAAATCACTACTGGTTGTGTACATATGTCGTTCATTTAAAGGAAATAGCTCATCACCCTAATATCAATCCATATAAAATATGACTTATTAGATTATTTTTTGTATTATTAACGTGACAATTTACAACATAAGATACAAGTAAGAAAAAGTGACCCTCTGTCTCTGTGAGCACTTTGTTGTATTTTTGGATCCATTTTCTGCTGCATATGTGGGAATCAATAAGCTTCAGTTGCAGATTAGTCAGACGCTCAGGGGAGCATGTTGTTCTTGAGTCTTTGAGGTTGTATTCAGCATGAATACTTAACACGCTGACTTTTGTTGCGCAATGAATCATGGGCTAATAATCTTGATGTTTGAAGTTAAAATGGTATATTTTACTTGTGTGTACCGTTTACAAAGATACGGCTCGATATTTTGTACCGTGAGAAATATGTTATGACCAATCTTTCCATAAATGAGGCTCACGAATCATCTGCCTTTGCGTGTTGTATGTATAGAACAGCGGCATTGCTCCAGACAGCGTAGATAATTCTATATTTATGTTTTTCATATAGCTTGTAAAACTGAGGAAAAGGTTACAGTGGGTCTTGCACATGAGCAATTCTATCATGAAGTGTAGTTTATTGTGTTCATAAGATTTATAAGATCTTTGAGTGTATCTAAGCATTTACTTAAGTCTCTACATAGTCAAAATGTTCTGCACGAAGGGGAGTTTTTACTAAAGAATATACAGTATTCAGCCAATGTTTGTTTTACTTTAAAATACCTTACACCGGAACATCTTTGTCATTGCCTAACACATCATTCTTTAAATTTCAGGATCAAATGGATGCCAGAGACAAGCTGATGCTGCAACATTCTGTTTTTGATGGGCCCTTTTATTTCATGGGGTTTAGAGAGGCTTTACCCTTTCTTCAGCCAGGTGTGTTCAGTGACCATGCAATGGGATTCTCAACTAAAGGGTGGACGACACGAAGATGCAAAAGGAAGGCGATCAAACTCAAGGTAAAAAATGTTGATCCCCACACAAGGCAGTGTTTTAAAAAATTATCTGCGGAAATCATCAGTAGACCGTAACAGTGATGACCAGCATGGTCTTCAACATAAATTTGAAGTAATTCAGGGTAATTTGTATAGCTTGTTTATGAAACGAGGCACTTAACCTTCTGGGTGGCGTAGTTTGCTGGTCTCTTTAAAAAAGATTTCTGTGCAGCTTCGGCTTGTAAAGTTGCATCTAAGGACAGGATGTTTGGGCCAGTGTCCAAAATAGGAGAGGTTTTTTACTATATATAACGTGTAGTTCTAGGTTTGATAAGAACCAACACCTTATTCAAGCTGTCAAAACTAGTGGTGGAAGGTTAAGATGTGGACACCATGCAATCATATGAGCTACAAAGACTAAAGAATGTGTCTGTCAGCCGAAGCCTGACTAAAACTGGGTCACGCAGCAGGATGATGCTCCCAAACACTGCTGGAAAAATCCACCACAGAATGTCTTGAAAATAATCAATGTGAAAGGTCCAGCCAAAGTCCAAACATCAACCTGCCTTAAATACGGTTGTAAGACTTTCAAGTAGCAACGAATTTGGCGAATTCTTCGCTCTTTGGCTCCCTCTACAGCTGTGTGATGTAGCAACACTTTCATAAAATCCAACCCCAGCGAAATCCCAGCAAACGTGGTTATAGACAGGATATCTTTTATCACGTTGACGGCCATGTTGAGGACACAAAGACACCATCAATGCCCCCTAAAAAAAAGCCATTAATGTGACCTTAAAACCAGCCGATAGTGGTGGTGCAATCTATTGACTCATGATTCCTTTTTTGGAACCCTCCCTCTATATTTTGTCTCAGCCTTTGCTAGGAAAAAAGAAGGAGAGTGATCTGTCCTGTTGTTGTTTTTTATTTTTAGTTATATACACCAAATTCTAAGATGTGGTGGGGACAAGGTGATGTCAAATTTTGTCTCGATATGTAAATTATATAAATAAATGGTCTGCTACTGGGGCAAATCTATGAGATTTGAAAAAATCAGCTAGCATAATGCGATACATAATTTTCATCTATTGATGTTTCCACTTATGTATTCATATTACTGCTAAATTATAATCTCCAAAGCCATAGTTGCCAAGAGGAAATGAACGTCACTTTTTGATTATAGGTTTTAAACATTTAAGGAAATGTATTGTAATAATTCATCACGATGCACATTTTTGTGGATTTAATTTGAATCTACTGTACCATCGAGGAGTTGACCATTACATACTGAAGTTGAGATATCTTTACATGAAAGCAAATCATATTTCTTTGAGTTTCTCAACGGCAACTATCTGCTTTATCAAATACTTAGGTGAAACTTCTTTGTGGTTACAACTCATGACAAAGGCTGTTCGACTGAACCACATTACAGGAAAAAAAAAAAACGTTGTCTGACAAGCTGATTGAAATGATCAAAGCAGCTACGCCTGACACAATCAGCAAAGTCATCTGGTGCAGTCTGCCTGGCATGAAAAGCTGCAAAGCAAAACGCTGTAAACCTGTTCTGAACACACTTCCTACTTAGATGCAGAGCTTCGACCGCACCAGTCAAATGGCAACAGCTTTCACAGTGACTCGCCCTTAGTATTGTCAGGTCCCTTTAAAATCTTCTAATTCGGACTGTAAATGCACAATTTGTGTGGACGCATGTCCATTCTACACAAAACTAACGCCAGATTTCAGTGTGAATTACAGTTCTGAACTGGGCCTGACTGAATCAATGGAACTGCATTGAATCCAACTTATCCAACTCATCCAGATACAAATCAAACCACCTAATAGTCGAGAATATCAATGACAAACTTTGACAGTCAAAGCAGTAAGGCAAGATGTGGCGTTGCATTATGGGTATGCTTCTCAATGCACCATTTTTTTTTAAAGCCTTGAACCTTTATCTTTGAAGCGGTTAAACTCTCTCTGTGGTATAGATTTTGTCCTTAAAATCAGGTCATCCTGGAGTTTGAGCTTGAACTATTATCTTCAGATCTTAGTGCATGCAGAACTTTCGCATAAGGAGGCATTTTGCTCTCTTAGTATTTACTGTTGGCTGCTCTCCTTGATCTGAATCCCAAGAGAATAAATATATATTCTCTCCAAAACCCCTTTAACACTAGCTGTATGCAGAGACAGGTGGGGGAAGATGATACCAGTGTAGCAGATAGATAGATAGAGGCTCCTGAATCAGAACGGCACTGGCAGTTTGAGCGGTGAACGGGCGAGGCGCTGTGCATCATCAGCTGTGAAGCCTCGGCTCCGTGCAGTCGGTTTGAGAGACAGCCATGGAGAGGTGGAGAGCGGACCGTCTCCTTTGTTATTTCTAAAAAAGTCCGGCCACTTCCGAACTATGCCACCGTCCGCTGCGGCTCGCCTCGGCCCGGACGCCGGACGCACACGGAGGCCGCCAGAGGATTCCCACCGGTGAAGTATACGCCACTTTTTTCATTCCCACCTCCTCCTCTTTTTTTCTGCTCGGGGACTGGGATTGCGGTAGGCTATAGTCGGGAAACAGACCATCGCTTCTCACTGCTCGCAAGTCCGTTCGGATGTCGGTGCCGGGGGTTCCCTGCTGCAGTCCTCTCTGACGGACGGCCGAGCGTCTTTATTTATTTGTTTTTGTTTCCGTCCGTTCGCTGGCTTTTGTTTGTTTTGAGTTTTTTTCGCAGCTGTTTTGCGGGCAGGGAGCGGATATTAATAGTGTGACAAAGTTGTGCACTTGTCGGTCGGCAGCTGAGAGGCCTGGCTCTGTCAATGCGTGTGTGTGTGTGTGAGTGTGTGTGTGTGTAGGGAGTTTGTTTCTAGCTCCCCTCCCCCACTCTGCTGCGGTCCTGCTTACGCCGGAGAGGCCAAGACGTGAATGTGACCAGAGGTTGTCTGAAAAGAACACAGCCCCGGATAAGAATGACCTTTCCGGAGCTCGTCATTTTTTATTTTGTTTAACTTCTCATTCTGGGCAAATTCCGCCTCTAAACGGCGCACCTGCGATGGCAGAACGAGCCCCGGCTAACCCGGCCATCTCATGCCGACGTTCCGTCCTCACAGGCGGGATGCAGGGTCGCCCAGATGGTCCGTTTCTTTCCATTCTAGCTCCAGCTGTCAAAGACTCAAAAAACACACACAAAAAAGGCCCGCAACCTTCCCGTTTCAAAAGACAAATAGTGGGTTTGTGGTTTTAATTGCGCCAGACCTGGCTTCACGCGCAGTGCACGTGCTGCTCACACTTCAGGACTGTGCGGCCGATGGACACCGCTGCCAGTTTTGTCTTCACACCCTCATTGTTCAATCAGGGTAATGATTTTATCTGTATTGGAGCAGACAGAGAGTGGGTGTGCCCTAAAGGGAAGGGTTCTGGCAACCATTAGAGATATTTCTCATGAAATCACACAGCTTGAGTAAAGCCTTTGTTAAATCATAATGTATCTTTTTTTATATTTTATTATTCCCCTCCCCACCAGCATAAATTTTTAATCCTATTAGAGTCAACAAGTGCTCATAGCTAGAAATAGGGGAAATTTAGCCTGAAAATGCAACATCAAGTCAAGGCTGTGTGTTTAGTTTTTTTTTTCCACCAGGATTTGAATATGCTAGCAGCTGTCAGGACATAGTGGCTTCTCTCAGGATGTGTGAATTTAAACAGTCAGCTGTGACGAGAGCAGACCTTAAATTAAATACTGACACTGTATCTGGAAAGCACTGTCATAAGCTGCTCGCTCCAAAAAAAAGAAACCCTGTGAATGCCCATGTAGCATAATGCATCCTTTATGAACTCTTTGCCTTAAATAATTTTGTTCACCACTGGGGTGCTGATTTGGCCTCTACACTGATAGCATGGGAATTAATTAAAATCAAAATATTGCAAGAGGATCAATACAGTGCCCTATCATTTTAAGTGCTGCTCATGCCAGCTAATAATAAAGAGATTTATGGCTGCTTCACGTTTGAATTAACTCTGTAAACCCCATGTGAATTCATCATGATGACGCTCCAATACTAATTTAGATGAAGCTGGAATAGCTGTAGGAAGTATTGATATGCCCCATGCATATAAATCAGTAGGTTGTTACTGAGCACATTAATACTACAACATCTTCATGCTGCTATCAACGAAAAGAATGCCTCTAAAGCATGTTTAAAGCCTAATGAGTTGAGATTCCAGTTTCTGATCAGGTTTGTGGATGCTCCACAGAATACACAAACTCATTCAGGTATTTAAAGGTTATTATGGTGTTTTTTTGTGTACATTTTAAGGAGTCTACTGTTATATTACAGTGATTGATTCAGGTTAAAATCTCACAAAATCTTTCCTGCAGCTTCTGAAGAATTCAAATGAAGGTTATCTGACCTTAACCAGGATTACTATGTGCAACATATTTGTTACATAGATTTGTGTCCTTTGCATTTTCAGATTCTGTCGCTTTCCATGGATATTGAAATATTTTAGGTTTGGTAGAACAGACTTTTATCTGCTCTGTCCACACATGGACCTGATCTGACCTAACCCACTCACAGTCCCGGAGAGCTGGCAGAGTAAAGCCGGCGCCATGTCTAATCTGACTGATTCAGACTTGTGGGGCTCCTCTGGGCGATGTAGAAAATTTCGAGACCGTGTTGTGAAAATGGAATTAATCAGATGCTGGATACTGTAAAAAAAAAAAAAGAAAAAAGAACGAGATGTATGTGTTAAAGGATTTTAGGGGTGGTGCCTGAGCAATGCCACCCAATAATGTGAGCAGCCTCTGATTGTGTTTTTTCCTTGCTTGCAGGAGTTTCTTCGCTGTGGCTCAAGTAGAATTCTGGATCTAAGATTTGCGCAGGGTGGGCTCCAGCAGGACGCGATACATGGATGCTGGGACCATGAGCATACACGGCAAAAGGGGCTACTTAGCAGACCTGGGAGGCAGTTTCACTGAGGATGCTCCCAGACCTCCTGTCCCTGGTGAGGAGGGAGAGCTGGTGTGCAGCGACGGCCGTCCGCACAGCAGCCACTGCCTCGCCTCGAAGAATGAGAGTCTCAAATGTGAGGCGTCGGTGGCTACACCCAGACGTCCTGACTTGGATCTGGGTTACGAGCCAGAGGGCAGTGCCTCACCCACGCCACCCTACTTAAAATGGGCAGAGTCCCTCCATTCTCTCCTGGACGACCAGGATGGCATCCATCTGTTCAGGACGTTCCTCAAGCAGGAGGAGTGTGCGGACACGTTGGACTTCTGGTTTGCGTGTAGTGGCTTTCGCAAACTTGAAGCTAACGAGGGAAACGAGGAGAAGAAGGTGAAACTGGCAAAAGCTATCTATAAGAAGTACATACTTGACAACAATCGGATTGTCTCTAGACAGATCAAACCGGCCACCAAGTCCTTCATCAAAGACTGTTTGATGAGGCTTCACATTGACCCTGCAATGTTCGACCAGGCTCAGACTGAGATACAGACAATAATGGAGGAAAACTCCTACCCTCTTTTCCTAAAGTCAGACATATATTTAGAATACACACGAACAGGAGGAGAAAGCCCTAAGCTGCACAGTGACCAGAGCTCCGTGCCTGGGAATGGAAAGGATCAGCCAAGTTATTTACCAACTCTAAATGAAATCGAGGAATGTGACCAAGTGCCAGAGGAGCAGCCTGAGTGTGACCCCACACCGAGAAGCCAGCTCGCTCAGGAACTCTTAATGGAGATGGTACCGCAGCGGGTTGCCAGCAGTGCAACATTCCAGGACAGTCGTGAGTGCAGGTAAATCTTTAAAAGCCTCGCCTCAGCTCAAACTGCACAGCTTTCCTCTGCAAACTGCTGAATTAGAAATAAACCTGAAACCCCATACCAGCATGAGCGCTGCCGTGAGATTGAGATGAAAACTGAATCTGAGTGGAGCACAAGAGACAGCGGGGTTGATGGTGTGTGAAGTATCTGCACCTCAGGTGGTGAGGAAATGTCAGAAGTTAAAAAGGCTCCTTTACCTGTTGTTTGGAGGCAAGAATCCTTTTTTTTTTTATCAGGACTCTCAGAATCATGCGTTTTCCCAGTGGACAGGCTTTTGTAGTGTGGAGATTCAAGATGATTTCGTATAGGAAGATTTCTGGAAATGATTTATCCGCACGCTTTTACACACACACAACTGCAAACAGCTCAGTTGATCAGTATTAGCTGGTAGTGTAGTAATGCGATGCTTTTTGCAGCAGTGGATGGCCTGATGGTAATGGCAATTTCTGTGCATCTGTACAATTCGGTGTCCACTAAGAAATGCTTTTTTGTTGGGGAAGGGATTTAGCAGTAAATCTCTCTAAATCTCCTGATGCCAGATTACTGCAGTTTTAAGAAGATAAGACAGTACTATAAGACGGATTATTGATGGTGCTATGTCAGAGGCCGGAAAAGATTACAAGTTTAGGGTTTGGTGTATCGTCAATATCAAATCTATCTTTTTTCTTTTTTCTTTTAATCACGGGTCATTTCAGTGATGTTTTGTGCTTTAAAAATTCTCGTTTAAATGGAAACGGTCTTTCACATACTTGTGATTTTTTGGCTGAGAACAAGTGGCTTGAGAGTAGGAATGCAAGTGTTTGTGGAAATGACAGCAGCTCAGTGAGAGATAAACACTTAATATCCTTCTGCCGCAGCCAAACTGCTGACAGCAGATAAACTTGTAAATGTTATTATGCAATGAGATTGCATCTTCGGAGAACTGAGAACAATTCCCATTAAGGAAAATAAAGTCCCACTGTGGCCTGCGAGATATTAATGTGATGGCAGCTTGCGTCTAATTCTTTGTAATGTTTGTCTGCCAAGGGACGATTTTGATTTCGCCGCAGAGACGTTCCCATATTTGACCTCTGTTTCTGCAGCGCCAGTTTTATGATGAGGGACAGGAATTCACATCAGCTGACTGACAGACAATAGGTTCCAGATAAAACCTCTCTGTGCACAGTGCTGCTCTCTGTAGCGGAGACAGAACAAATCCTGATTACATTTCGGTATGTTAAAATACAATAATCGAACGGAAATCAGATCTTGCATGGGCTGAGCAGCTGCAGCCCTCAGCTACTTTCTCTCCTCACTTTCTCCAGCATGAGCAAGTAACTTTTCGGGTTGTTATCTGCAAAGGACTCGAGCTTGTTTGTACGTGTAAGATTTCTGAAAACATAACCAAGGGCTCCTTTGTTTGAGATCAATGCCTGAAATCTTTTCTCATATGTAGGCCAAAAAGGGGGAAAAACCCAAAACATGGCTATAGAACTAACCACCACAGGCATTTCAGCAATATAAATGTGAAGATCGGCACAGAAAACGATAAATAGCTGTTTTAATTTTGTGAGGGAGGCAGGCGTTTAATTTCACGTCATTTTTGGCATTCAAGCATTCAGATAGATTAGAACCATGCTTAATTTTTAATAGCCTCTTATCATCACCCTGTGGGTTTTTGTGAGACTTTAAGTTTTACAGCAGTTGTGTCAGATCTGTTCAGAAACAGGCAACAGGAGTCATTAGACAGTCTTTTAGATCCGCCTCGATAAGTGAGATGACATGAAAGAGAATGGCCTTCACGTTCATTAATGTTTGCTGAAAGCTTTGAAATAAGAACACTTCAGTTTTGTTCTTGTTCTAGTGGGATTAAATTTTCAGAAGAAAGACTTAATTTTCTTTGACTTCACAAGACTTTGTTTTTCTTCATAAAGAGGTGTAAGAAAAACAAGAAAAAGGAAAAAAAACACTTCATTTTAACAGATAGGCCTACATAGTTTTATTTTGGAGGGAGGGTTACATTAAATGCAATCTTTAATTTTCTCTTAATCTTGTTTGTTTTAAAAAAAATGTACTCATGTGAAAAGTGTAGTGATAACTCCCCCATACTTCCCTCCAAAGGGAGTCTTCATGTCTTCTAGAAGACATCCAGCATGGTTTATAGGCTCACTTGATTTGATCTATGGTAACACTACAACTCAGTTTATTGGATTATGCTCCTTGTCCCAGTGTAAATGCATGGGAATCAAATTAGTGGCTCAAGTATGGCCAGTGCTGTTGGGGAAAACATGCAGTGTATTCTGCTTCCTCTAACTTTCCCTCAGGGAGATCATCCTAGTCGGATCAGCTGACCCTAAACAAAGTCAGCCTCAAGGGTGGGTCTCGATTAGGCTTGAACCCAAATGCAGGTTTCCAAGAGGAAGGAGCTGAAGAAGACAGCTGTGTTCTTGGCACTGCAGAGGCGGTTAAAGCAAAAGCCATAGAAACAGAACAAAAGGGAAGACAATGGACTGACTGAGAGAGCACTGGGAATCCCAGGGAAACAAGATCAGTTAAACGGCAAAGAGCAGAGGAAAACCTGGAGGATATGTAGTAAGGGAGGTGATAACAAATCAGGTTCATATGTGGACCAGGAATGAACACTCCTGAATGCACATGTGAGTTAACAAAATAAATCAGGAAAAGCCGAGAAATTAAATTGAAAAAGTAACAAAAAATCAACAACAAAAAAACAAAAGATAAGGTTGAGACATGAAAACCTATGGCAGAGTTTTGACAGGATTTGACGGGATCTTGATTTTATTAGTCTTGGATGGTTTCAAGAACAGGAAGATGACTCACAGTCTTGATAGGCTACTTATCAGTCACAGTTTATCACATGTTGCTATTTGATGAGATCTGTAAATTACATTCAGCTGTTTTAATGCACGTGCCTGATTGTGCATGTGTATAATTTTTTAAGATAAAAACATGGGGTAAAAAAAGGAACTGTGAAGCTTTTGCTGGGGACGTTGGCCCGTTTGAATCTATTTAAGTGCTTCCCTTCTACTTTTTTGCTCATATGCAATTTAAAAAGTTTGGATTTTGTTAGACATAACCTGTTTTTCTTTTTAGTGTCATGGCAGAATGTTCAGTCTTGAATATTTCTAAAGGCCAGTGATCAGCAGGTATACCTGTTGTTAAGGCTTGCCAAATCATACCTAAACTAAGAAAATAGCATTTCTCTCACCATCCACCATTTTTAAACAATCAGCTTATCAGAGACAGGAAGTAAAACCCACTGTTTCAGACATAGTGTAACAAGGCTAACACTGCTGTTCCAACAAAAAAAAGATATTCATGACCAATAAAGTATGTAAAAATATTCTATTGGTCCCCAAAAGAGAATTATGAATAAATAAAACCAGTGTAATGATAATTCCTTAAAGTGTGGAAGATTTAACATGTGGCTAAATTTGACTACGATACTAATCGCCTGTTTCCTAAACCATCTCTCCTCACACTGTTTTGATGACAGCTGCATCAATGTTGATTTACCTTTATGATGTAACACTTGACATTTGATAGTTCCAAAAGATGCTTTTGGTTTCAGTTGTCAGGGCAGATGTATAACCTTATTAATTCTAAAAACGGCTTCAATCTATTTTTGCTGTCTGGAATGTTCTCTGACTGTATGAAACTCAATAATTACACTTTGATGAGATTTTTGTGTTTTGTGTATCTGATCATTTGACTGAATTAGAACTTCCATTCTTTGCCCTTGCCGCTCTCGTTTAGACGAGAAATGTTTCCATAGTCACCACGTTTACAGCCGCGTTTTATTTGTGCCTCATCTTTACCAATCCGGTGCTGTAATTATTCAGAGCTGAACGTGGATGGTAATGAAGATCGGATGGTCACAAAGGTTTCATTTGAACTCCTGGTGCTTCTGCATTTCAAGCAGGGAGAAAGCTCAGGGTAAATGCCTTAGGGAATTCCAATTTGAATAAAGAATAATGATGCCTAACATCTATAATTCATGTATACAAGGCCCGTTAAGAAGTGTGTTCAGCAAAGTTGAGGACTGTGAATGGTGTCAAATGAAGTATTTCTGAAGATGCTCTCTGAAAAATTTGCATTTGCATCAGATTGACTATTACTATTTCCTGTTCTCTATATCTGCTTTCTATTCCTGGTCGCTATTTCTGAATTCCATGTGTTGAACTGCTGATACCTTCATACTTATGCTGATTAAATGTAGGTTTACTTTAATTATGCCAAATAAAAAAGACAGGAGTTAGGAGATGTGAATTAGGGGTTAAGAATTAGGTTGCTTACATATGTATGTATTCAACATGTCGGCTTTAATATGGACATGTCAGTGTAATTCTTTCACTGGCCTGGAACAGTGTTACGGACTTCAGAATGTTTTGCCCTGTGTCAAAAATGATTAAGCACTTATTCTTCTCTATTCAACCTTCCCAGAGAAGACATAAAATAGATGTGGCAGTTGTCCAATACACAAGCTGTACTGCACTGCCATTTTTTGTTAATGAGTTTGAATGATTGTTTTCATTACAAAATGATGTATTTCTGAGAATGAAATTTCCTCTGAGCATTTTCTGTATCTCCTTTTTTCCCCCCAGGCATGCACCATGGCGGGAGCCCATCAACCCGTACTATGTCAACACCGGTCATGCTATGGCTCCAGCCACCAGTGCCAATGACAGTGAGCAGCAGAGCATGTCCAGTGACGCAGACACACTTTCCCTCACAGACAGCAGTGTGTATGTAATGTGCAACCTCACACAAACACATTTTGCATGTCGTGATAAATGGGTCAGGCGTCAAACTCATCTTGAATACCAGTTTAGTGGTTAAAGTGAAAGTTTGGAACCTAGAAACGGTTGTTTAGCAGACATTCACCCAGGTAGAGCCATTTGGGCTCGAATAACTATTTATTTATTTATTTATTTATTTATTTATTTATTTGTTCATTCATTCTCAACTGGACTCTGACATAAAGAAGTCTACTCAAGCAAGTGTATGTTATTAAAGACAAATGATCCTTTTAAAGCAAAATGTGAACATTTTCTGAAAACATGCTCTGATAAAGTCTTGGTTTGCTGTATCTGTGCTGCGGATGCAGCTGTACTTGTAAATGTATGACAATTTCAACGTAACTTTCATATCACTGGGTCTCACTCTCATAAGGTCTGCTCAAATAAGCCATCTGTTTTCTATTGAAAGAATATTTGAAAAATAATGTGCTTCAGTTGCACAGGGAGACAGAGCCAGCGAGCCTGCACAACTGGACAAAAATGTGTTTAAAGTTGTGTGGATTAGAGGCTGTTATCAGCTAATTGCTCCAGAGCTTCCAACAGGGAAGCATTTGAAAAGCAGTATGACCAATACCTCATGGAATTGCAGACTCATGCATGACGTGTTGTTGAATCTGCGAGACCACTTGTGGTTTTCCAGGGACAACACAATCCTGTGAGCATGCCTGTCCTGCCGTACTGCTCAACCACTTACAAGGTGTTTGTTTTAGGCAACAGCGTTACGAGAAGCTTTTTGAACTTCACAGCTAATTCTGTGTTTTATTCATGAGGCTGTTTTCATGTTTCAGAGATGGGGTCCCACCATACCGATACCGCAAACAGCATCGCCGGGAGATGCATGAAAGTGCCAAAGCAAATGGGCGAGTGCCTCTACCTCATTTTCCAGTGAGTTATTCATGGGTTATTTCCTTCCTGCTTTCTGCCTCTACACCTCTCTTTCTCTTTCTCTCTATCTCTCTCTCACTCTCCAACTGTCTATCTCTGCTTATGTTTTTTCTGCTCCACTGTTGGAGATGTGCATATTTAAGCTCTGCTGTGTCGCAGAGTCTGTGATGGAGAATAAGAATAGCTGATGGTGAAAGAGAAGGCTGTCTAAATGCAGCTTGATGCCTTCCTAAGCTGTGTGCGCTGATGCCTAGAAGACATGAATCTTCCTCTGTGACAGCCTGATGCCTCCATCTCCAGCTCACACTGTCTCTTGGTAGCCCTAATGAGGCCCGGGAGTAAAGAGTCAAATTAAAACTTCTCATGTAGCATCCTACTGGGATGTATGAACCGACTATAAAGTCCCTGAACAAAAACTCCCATTTTCCTGCACAAACAGTTGAATGATGACTTACTGAGCTAGAAAAAGACTTGTTTGAAATGTCACTTTGTTTACCAATCTTTTTTTCCATGGATGGCTTTCATAACAGAAATTAACAGCTTCAAATGAAATGAAGTCTAGTACACTCATTAACTCCGTAACTCACACACGCAGAAGACAGAATACATGTCACTTACGTATTTTTGAAGGACATTAAATGTGCTGTTTATTACAAGATTTAGTTTATACTGACAAATCCTTTTTCAAAAATTAAACCAGAACAAAATGGCTGTATCAAATCTAGTCGGAATTCTTGTGGATGTCTCACCAAACCATAACACCCTTGTTCAAATGATATTTACGACACAGAGATTAATCACAGCCTCCATTTAAGAGCCACCCTTGTGAATTTGAAAGCCTCTTAGTTGATAGAATAGATAGTACTGGTTAAGCATACATTATTTAAAAAAAATCTACTTGATTCATTTTTTCGTTTCGGAAATATTACTGGCTCATTCAGATCTAAACTTACCATCTGTTTTTAAACACCAGCATTCAGCAGTGTCCAGTTTAATGTTGATGCGAGGTGTCTTGAGTGCTAAAATGTCCTCGACAGTAATACCTGCGTGACAGAAATCCACAGAGTGCTTACTGTTTGACATTTCTTTTCCTCCAGCGCACAAACCGGATTCCAAAGGATATACACGTGGAGCCAGAAAGGTTTGCTGCAGAGCTGATTAGGAGGCTGGAGGGCATACAGAGGGAGAGGGAGGCTGAGGAGAAACTAGAGGAGCGGCTGAAGAGAGTACGACTGGTATGATCACATATTTCTGTACCAGTTTCTGATTTTTAAAGAACGATAAGATTTAGAGGTTTTTAAATTTCTGCCGCAGGCTGCATTATTCTGTTTTTCTCTCCATGTTACTCATTTAAGTTATATTAGGAACATGCAATTGTCAGTACCACAAGCACCACTTTACTTGACATTAGTGGGATATAGGTGTGATCATAAAAACTGGAAAAAAGGCATTAATTCCTTTGTTAAATATAACAAATAACATGAAAAAATGTGACAACCGCATAACTGAACCCTCATCCAGTTCCCAAGAAAAGCTCCTGTTTGTAGCTGCTAGAAAAGATAAGGATGATTTGATGATAAGCAGATCGTAGATGCGGAATTGAAAAGCATGTTGTTTAATATCAGTAGATGCCAGTTTCCGCTTTTGTTTCTGAGCCAGACAGCAAGGTGTGTTTGCCTGGCCATCAAGCTTGACAATATCCAGAAACAAAGGAGACTTAAAACCGTCTGGCCCTCACAAAATTAATGAGGCCAGCCATCCGAGTAGTTGGTAAAAAGCGTTATGAACTCTTTGGAGAATTCCCACCTTGGCCTGTCAGCAATCTGGCTTTGTGGATGAATCAGATGCAGCACCTGCACCCTCGGCCACTTTTAAGCCTGGAACGGTGTGCTGCCTGTTTGATGCCACTTGAATGGTGATGAAAAGCTTCCTGTTACCACATCTGAAATCTCTGTCAGTACACAGCGCCAAGTGTTAAGCCTTCATCAAGAAATACTCTGGGCACCAGAACAAGTAATTATGAGCCTGGGTTTTAGCTTTCTAAAAATGATATCCAATGCCTAGTAAAGGAATACACACACAAAGTATTAAAACCCGACAGATAGAAGAATCCTACCTTTTGTTAAAACAGGATATTTCCGCACTGTTGCTGTCAGGACAATGTTTAAATTCTGATTTTATGAGATACCCATTCTTTGCCTCTTTGCGGTCACGCTCTCCAAGAATGAAATTAGGGCTTCCCTTAATGTAATTTTTCTGAACACTAGGCTGTCTGGACACACAAGAGCAACAGAATGTGGCTTTTGTCAGTGATCTATTGTCTAAAAGACTCATAGGATGGCCATCACATGTCTGATTCAGATTTTTATTGAGTGTTAACAAGAGAATCGAACATGCAACCACAGCTTTTACTGCTCATCATGTGGAGAGACTTAAGAATGAGTTCAGTATTTTATTATGTTAACATCTTTTAAGGCCACTTTCCAAAAAAGTGGAACGCCTGACATCTTTTTAAAAAAAGGGACAGCACAATATTGCAATATCAATATCGAGTTCAGATATCTGTATCTTATGCAGGCATGTGGTTAGTTTCCAGAGATGTGTACAGAAAATTATTTAAACGTGTGCCAACAAGATGAAAAAATATGTTTAAAATGACTCCAGAATCTAAAGGAGAGCAAGTGTATATATTTGCAGAAATTAAATATCTCTCTCCGGTACAGTTATCTAATGCATAATAAATGTAGACCAGAAGCAAACTCGCATGGTTTGGCATGTTTATGAGCAAAGGTTGATTTAGTTATTAACTGAACAGATATAGCTAGTTTTGGCTTGGGTCTGCCACATAGTATAAGTGACACAGCCTGTTGTTGTCTTTCTGCTGTGTATTGTTGTGCCCCCCTCCTTTTTACATTCCTGCCAGCATGTTTTAAACTTTGCACAGAAAGCAGGGAAAATGAGAGTCCAGCCTCATTGTGTTCACTCCCCCAGCTGCATGAAAAACACTCTCTCCTGGCTTAAATGTTAATAGGAAATAAATATGCATGCAGGCTGTGCTTGAGTTTTTTTTCCTTTAAATTCCAGAAAGGCTTTGCATCACTAAATATCTCAGAATAGGGGTCTGCCGTCCTATTACCATGAGGATTAAACTTGACCACTACAAGTAATGACAGAATGTCTCCATCCGCACTGTGTTTTCTTTCATCCCAGCACATCCTCCTCTTCCTCTCCGCTCTTATCTAAACCTATTATGAATACATGCAGCACCCCACCCAGTAAATCTCAAAGGAGCAGATTCTGCTGGAGCACGATTTTGTCACAGTCAGTCAGAGCCAAAGATGGATCGGTTGCACTTGTCATGACGCAGAGCAACAGAAAAGCGCAGCGTACATACTTATACAGATGTGGTATTTCATCTCCAAAGCTCGCCTCTAAGAATGTGAAGCCACCTCAAAGTGTCTGATGAAAATCTGACATCTAGAGGCTGAAAAGAGAACACCACAACCAACCTTGAATATTGAATTTGAACATGCTGTCTTGTTTCACTTGAGTGTTTGTTTTATTATTTGTGTTTACATTTTTTCCCAACACTTTTTCTGATTTTTTTATAAAGGAGGAGGATAGCGAGCAAGTCACCATGTCCACAGGTCTGTCATTATCCAGTCACAGGCCCCCCTCCAGTGCGTATTCGCAGAACTACAACCCTCGTTATGCTGACATCCCCTACAATGGTCCTTTCCTCAAGGACGCTCACGAGGAAAACCCTGAGAGTATCTTAGACGACCATGTCCAGCGAGTCATGAAAACCCCTGGCTGCCAGTCTCCTGGGACAGGTCGCCACTCTCCCAAGTCACGCTCCCCAGATGGTTTCTTTGGGGGGATGGGGATCAGTGAGTCAGGCCAAGGTAAACATCCAACAAGGAACAGCTACAAAGGAGAGATGAGCCACCTGCACCACCACAAGCACGGCCATTATCCGGGCACAGGACGGCCCAAAGAGCATGCTGAGGCTGAGGGAGCCTTTCCCTGGATCATGGAGACAAGTTGTTACATTTCAAAGTCTCGCAACTACGCAGATGGCACAGGGTCCAATCACTCAGACCATTCAGGGTACGGAGGTGGAACAAACTTGAACTTGTTTTTGCCATTCACACAGGCACGTTTCATCTTATCTTTATACTTACCAGTTGTATTCTTCTATTCTGCAACAGCAAAAGCGGTCCACATTGTAAAAGACCTTTTAAGAAAGGTGAAGAAGTGTGGCCCTGCGACATATCGGGCCCGACGGAGGAGACGGAGAAAAACCACAAGATCCTTATGTGGCTGATGGAGGGACAGAAAGAAATGGTTCAACACAAGCGGAGTCCATACGGGTGAGTGACCACAGATCACACTCAGACTGTGTTTACAAAGTAAAAATTGGCTAGCGTCAGTGGGTCAGTTGTTCTTCCTCTTTATTTATAGGACCACCACAAGCCATGAGGGATCACGACTCAGTTCCCTGGAACGATCAGGATCGATGCATCCGTGCATGAGTGTCCAAATGCACAGCAATGTGCAGCCATCTCACCCTTTCATCCAGGACCCCACCATGCCCCCAAACCCAGCACCCAACCCGCTAATCCAGCTGGAGGAGGTTTGCAGGCGGCTTGAAGAGGAGAAGACAAAACCTGGAGGCGTGCAGCCGAAGCAAAGGTAAAAGGCCAGAGTGTTATATGTGCGGATGATCAGTAGAATGTAATCTTGAAGGGAAGAGGCACTGTCTTTCTTTTTTTCTACACTATTATTATTCTGCTCTGTAGCCTGTATGATTCATCGTGGATTTAACTACTGGGGATCTTGGATCCCACAGGTATGTGATGGAGGTGATCCAGAGGGGTCGCGCCGCAGTGAGGCCTGCGCTGTTCCCGCCGCTCAACGTGGTCCCCGCCGTCTCAGACAGCGAGCTCTCAGAGCCCGAGTACGTGCACTGAGTCCCAATGATTTAAGATCTCTAAGGTCTCCCGCTTTATACCTCTGCCTGCTTTCTCGTCAAGTCTTTTTTCTGTTTACTCGCTTCGGATCAACTGAAGATCAGAGTTGATTCTCCAGATATTACTGTTGTATGAAATAATGTCCATTGAGTCGTGGAAATGAAGTCCAACAGTAAAGATACAGTGGAGCGATGGCCTGTTGCGCAGTACACATTCCTAATACAGAAATTATTTATATTAATGATCTTAAACTTTGAATATTCAGTCATTTTATCAACACTTGGAAGCTAGGGGAAATGGTTATCCGTTCTTTTTACATATCCTATCATAAATAACTGATTGGACTTTGAGTTTTCTTCTGAATTTCCCATGAAGATGAGGAAAAAAAAGATCACAGAGGAAGTAGAAGTGTGTATTTTTTCTGTGCTCCTGCAGAGGCGTGAGTATTTAAGATCGGGTCAGGTTTTGATGTCTTGTGAGAAACGCGCAGCAGCCTTCTCAGCCGAGCACAGAACAGAAAGAGAGCAGAAGGTGTGTCAGAAAAAGATTAAAGCCAGATAACACGGCAGTCCCAGTGGGTCAATCCTCTCACCAGACTGAAGAGGGATAAGAAGACACTGACTCAACAGTTTGGAACCTCAGATTTCTTACAGATAACCCTCTGAATGGATTTCTGTTTGCCAGTAAAGCAAGACAACTATGTGAGATTATATCAAGACTTATCTGTTCACTGTACTGATTTGAAACAGTGGTTTTCAAAGCACTGAGTGTGATGCTTTCTGAAAGGAAGGATACTGTCCGTTAGAGTCAGCAAATGGCATTTTTCAAGCTTAATGTTTTTGCATTTCGACAAATTAGCTGCTGTGAAATTTTCTATTGCAGTGACTCTTGATTTTTATGTAGGTTCATTGCGTGGGTTCAGCTATTTGAATCGCTCATGTTTGATCATAATATTTTTTCAATAATGGCAGCCTAAAAACAGTTTGTCTGATGCAAGTATGTGGAGCTATGGCTCATAGAAGGAGCAGGAGTTCTGATGTAAATGATGGTGATTTGGCGTCAGACGGGGCCTCGGCCTGCTGTTCTGTGTGAGGGGACAGATGGACTGTTGTGTAAGTGTACGCCTAGTGAATGATGGACATTTAATGTTTTTCTAAAGCCACAGGCTGTCTCTTAGAGAAAAAAATCACTCTGACTTTTTCTGTTGTACATGTAATGTGTCACAAAAACAGACACAGCTCTTGGTTCTTTTGCTTGAAAACTTTGCTGAACATGATGAAAGAGGAAGTTAGTTATTACTGAAATCCTTTTAATGAAGTAGTCACCTTAGCTTTTTTGAAAATCCAGTTTGACATTTTGGATGTTTGTGGTTTATCTAGAGTTTCTGAGCTTGTGTGTTGGCAGGATTCCTAACGTATAGAGCTGCTTCATGTGACTCCTGTCACCTATGCTAACAGGTCTAAATTCATAATTCAATCAAAAACTGTATGTTAGAAATCTAGCTAGATTTACACAAATCTTTTTCACATACTTAATACATTCAAAGAGTTTGTCTGCTTTAGGTCTGTAAATAAAGTATCATTCTTTTTGCATTTGGTAATTGTTATCTCAGTTTGAACTCCTCAACCTGTGTGTTCTTTAATGGGAGGGTCTTTTTTAACCTAAGTTTAATAAACATGGACACAAAGGACGATTCCTATTAGCTGATATTGTCTTTATTTTCCTTTTGCAGACATAAAGCCAGTAAGAAGCCGCCGAGTGAAAACACTACGGTGGCGTATTACTTCTGTGAGGAGCTGATACCTTACAGGACGTCTGTCAAAGGGAGGGTTGTCACGCTGGGCCAGTTCAAGGAACTGCTGACAAAGAAAGGAAACTACAGGTGGGATTTGTGGTGCTATTCCCCTGGTTCTGATGTGTTTACTAAATCTAGCGCTGTCAGGTAAATTTCTGTGATTTTCCCTCCTCAGGTATTATTTCAAAAAGGTCAGTGATGAGTTTGACTGTGGGGTGGTGTTTGAGGAGGTGCGTGAAGATGATGCCATCTTGCCAATCTTTGAGGAGAAGATTATCGGGAAAGTCGAAAAAGTTGATTGAAGTGGACGTCAACGAAGTGGAAGCTGAGGGGATCGAGGAGGAGATGAAGGTGACAAGGAAGTGTTTTCTGGTGGAGATCAAAGGAAAGTGCTCTGGCCGTGATGGAGCTGAAGGCGGTGTCCAGGGATGTCGCTGCTGTGATGAACTGGAAGAAAAAAAAGACCTCAATCACTTGTTGGAGTGTCATGTAGCAATGTGAAGCTTACTAGGTAGATGAAGAACAAAAGTGCTACTAAAGCTACATATTTTTGCTAAAGATCTATCAAAGGGTTTTCCTTTTAAAGTAACTGCACTCATAATTTTTATATGTACAGTTTGTGTTAACAACAGAATTTTATATCTATTTAAGTATCTGAAAGACAAATTTTCAAATCTATAACTGTGTGGCTCCTGCTGAAAATGATCAAAATCCTTCTATAGGGCTGGTGCTTGTTGTTTGTTTCTTCTGGAATCTGATGTTTGTGCTCTTCTAAGTGCTTTCAATACTTACCAGAACTTCTTTTTGTGACAGTCTTCTTGTCCACTGCATCATAAACCACTGATTATGTCTTGGTGTTGGCTTTCTAACCAGAACCCTTTTACAGTAATGCAAACGAGTACATCAGTCCTTTCTCTTGTCAAGATGATTATGAAGCATGTATTCCTTTTGGACTCGACTGGAGGATCTTTGTGGTGTTTTAATGACTTTATAATGTAGGATAGACTTCAAATTTTTCTGAACTGATTCTCATATTTCATGAAAGGATTCGTTATTGGGATGTTTGACTGGGTGGCATTTCTGTAAAATGTTACTATTTGAAGTGGTTTGATGTGTACTGAGGGGAATGTAGCCTAAATCTCTGTCTGTTTATCCACTTTGCCTTGAAGTAAGAACAGACACTAAATGCAATGATACTGTAAAATGAGACATGATTGGAAATCACAAGATGAATCTATGCAAAGTCATTCTAAATGAAAAAGTAGATTGGAAATATTAGAGAAATGTGAAGAGTAAATGCTGGCTTCATACTATCTGTCAGCATATTTGAAAATATTTATTAGGACAATACCTGTAAATGAATTTGAGTTAGGATTGATACTATCAGGTTTTGTGGTTTGAGTGCTTTAGCACAAGAATATACAATAAGTAATGCAAATGAATTTCTGTTGGACGCTGTTGAGCTGTGTTAAGTGGCTTTAAAAGTCAGTGTTGTCCAGTAGGTAGAAGAGCAGCTCGTTCTAATTTGCGGTGATTTTTAGCAGAGTTAATTTGCTCAGAAGACCCACGACGGCATGAACTCTTAAACGTGAGGACTTCATCTCATGTTCATTTTTTTTCTTTAATCTCCATTCCACGTTAAATCTTGTATCACTGGCCGGTCAGTGAATTTACCCCTTACTGCCTACTGTCACAAATTTGTGACAGTCCACTTCTATACATAATACATCTGAAATAGAGTTATTTATTCCTTCAATGGTGATTGATGTATTTTTTAGTGAATACCTATAATCTTGTAAGCGCAGGTTTGTTCTCTGGACCGTTTGCCTTGAAAGCAAATGCAGAAAAATTTATTTAATTTATATATATGTTTGACAATAAATTCAGGCATTAAGGGTTGAAAAGGGGGATGTACTGAGAGCTGGTGGAAGCCTTTTCCTGCTTAATGCAGCTACATCTTGTGCCTGAAAGGAAGTTTTCTGGATCTATGTGTGATAGATCTCTTTACACCAAAGAGGAAAAAGTATGTGGTATTTGATGCTCTGACGTTGTCCCTTTTGACTTTTCCATTTCACGGCAGCAGTTGTTTCTTACCTTTTTTTAATAGGCATTTTCTTTGAAAACACTGAAGATCCGTTACTTTTGGGTTTTAAACCACAAATGTCAGCAAAATTTAGAAAAAATGTCAAGAAGCTTGCAGAATATTTATGTCCTCTTACTACTAGGAGAAAAAAGAAGTAGTAGGCCAGTTTACATGTATTTATCTTTATCTGGCTGTGTAATTGACATGTTTGCACTGGAATAGCAGAGACTGAAAGTTATTGCACAAAGTTGGCTCGCTTAGAAAGGAGGCACAAAGATTCAAGGCCTCCTTTTGTCATTTGAGTTGTGTTTCTTGCCATTGTGTTGATTCATTTTGAGGAAGTCGTTACAGATGTGCAGCCCGCTGTAACCGACTGTGGAACCTTGACTTTAGATGCTGTACTGTGATGTGTTGTTTCACAGAGATAGCAGAAGGAATTTTCTTCATTGAAGGATGCTGCTTTTTGAGATGACTAACTTAGAAACGTTGATTATTTTATTACATCTGTGGTGTGATTATTTGGCTCTAAAGTTGTTCACATTTTTCATTTATTTTGAAACATAGTTGATTAACTCTGTTCTGGTTACTGTGAAAGCCCCAAAAGTAAACTCCTCTTATTTAAGATCAATGAAAATGCATACAATAAACAGCAGAGTGCCTTTATTATTATGCTAATGATGTCTACATCTGACTTTCAGATAAATATGGGGACCAGGGTCTAGCTTTATCTGTTTTTGTTGAATTTCTGTTTGTTTTGTTTTTGCAAAGTTGTTCCGGTAATTGTCTTTGTTCTGCCTTATTCATGTAAATATGTACAACTTATATTGTCATTAACCAGCAGCCCAGCCGTCAAATTCAGTATTCTGGACCTGTTTGTGTTCACTAACTAGCATGGTTACCATTTTTAAGGTACCCGGACAATAAATACATGCAATAAACTGGCTCTGTTGCTTTGTGTAAATTTCTCGGTCTTAATCTTAATCTTGGTCGGGGATAGAGTTATGCAGTTCTTGTGACAGTGAATGTGACTTATTTACTCTAATATTCAGTTAAATGGATAAGTTACAGATAAAATCAATTAATTAATGAAACCAATTAATTATTTAATAATAGAGCAGTATACTTTTCTGTCCCAGTTGTAAGTTTGTATCACTGAAAAAAACTTTTGTAGTTAAGACAAAAAGTATTGATGTAAAATGAAAGCTTTCACCACACTAAGGAAAGCTAAATTGACAGTATTTTACAACATTAATTGTACCCTGACCTTGTGTTTGGATCAGTCGAGCATTTGTCAGATTCAATTAAATCCAAGGCTACATCGTCTATAGATCCATAGACGACAACCAAAGAAAAATCCATAGTGAACTACCTGAAGAGAGGCCTTTTGGCCTGAACATCATTGAAAATATATGGTCAGGCTTTGGAGAGCAGAGCAAACAATATTGCACAAAAATATAATCTTTTAACACTACAGTCCGGGAAATGAACACCATAGGACTCTAAGCTGAACACAAAAAATAATTTTGCCTTAAACCCTTTGGAAATCAGACAACATTTCACACTCTTTGCTCTCCACAGCAAAGTCTGTTTCATTAAAGCGTGACAAGAAATTTTGCATTTGTGTGGGATGCAAAGTTTTCCCAACAGAAAATGTGTTAATACCATACTTTTTGTTTTCTGTAGTCTGTAGCTACAGACTGTAGATGGCACTCTCACTGTAGCTGTGTTTGCACCTTTGCTTTGTCGTGCATTTTGCAGGGACCGAAACAGCTAGGACAAAAATCACTCATTGTGATTTCTTGAAAGAATATGAAGTGTGGATCAGTGTGTTTACTGTCAACCTAAAACAATCTCGAATAGTTTTTTTTTCAAAGAAACAAAACGGCTAAATGGGAAATCTTATTCTGGATTACCTCTATTTGAGGGGACGGAAGAGAGGAAAGAAAAAACATCGGGAAGGCATTGGGATTTTCCTGGACTGACAGTAACGAAACAACTATGGCTGCAAGAATTCAGTGAATATTCAAAGAAATATATCATGCAAGTGAACAGGAATTGATGGGTACTATGGGAATTAATAGCAATGAATTGATAATATTCTCATGTATTTTAACATTTGTTATTACATTTCCAACCCCTTTGGAGCCCTATGCACAACAGACACAAGTCAGTGAGATATTGAAAGGAATACAGATGAAGCTACATTCTGCTTCTGCCATATTGTGTTAGTCATGCCACCCCATATTTTGAAACAGTTGGTTTTTCAACCCACAGGCTCAAACTGGACAAATGACTGATCACTGTATTTCCATGTTTCTACATTTCTGAAGTACACATGAACAAAAAGAACAAACCCACAATTCTTACAGATGTGTGCTCACCTGATGTTTTTCTCTTGCTGTTGTCTTGCACTTCATCTTGTTGCTGCTCTGAAGTGAATTTCTGAGAAACATGCTGACCTGTCTGTAGGCATGATTAATTCCAGCCTTTTCTTCTGAGTCACTGTGGCACACCTTTGTAATCTGGGTCCCTGGTTCAGCAGCATGGATGTAAATCAGATGCTGAATGCAAGGTCTGCAGTTAATGCTAACTCTTTTAAAGATATTAAGCAGTTATACGAGAGACACAAAGACACCGGCAACTGTTTGCAGTAAAACATGGAATTCACTCACAACTTCATGGCATTTCCTCAAATTACACATTATTTTTTAGATATTCTATTTGAACTATCATTTAAAAGGATTGTCACACTGCTCTGAATATAACATCACATTTCTGCCTGAACATGGTGTCTCCCCAGAATGAGTTTCAAATATAATGGTCCACAAAAAGCTAAAAAAATTCAAATGCCTAACACATTCTGGATTATTTATTTATTCACCTCACAGCAAAAGGGTTCCTGGTACATGTTCCTGGGGGGACTGGGACCTTTTTGTGTCGAGTTTGCATGTTCTCCCTATGTCTGTGGGGGTTTTCTCCAGGTCCTCCAGATTCCTCTCACAGTCCAAAAACCTGCATGTTAGGTGGACACTCCAAATTGCCCTTATGAGAGATTGTGAGTGTGTGGGGTTGTTTGTTTGTGTGGCCCCCGGATAGACTACCAGTCCAAGGTGTACCCCACCCATTGTCAGCTGGGTTAGGCTCCAGCCCCCCCCCCTCCTGCTTTTTCTATCCCGCTGGGAGTAACGGTATAGAAAATGGATGGATGGCCCCTGCTAAACTAAATAAGATCTTCTCTCTTCACACCTTTCTTTATTATTATCTTTTTGACTGGAGGCCTTAGTAGTGAATTCTACACTCGGTGATGTGTGATTAGAACCTGTTGAAATCCCCCATATTTGAATTGCTTTGCAGTTTCCAGAGCAACCAAAAAAAAAATCTACACCGACCCTGTCAAGGTTATCCATGACGTAGGTAGCACAGATTTTCTACAATTACTTCCAGCCCTCTGACAGCGCTAATTTGTGCACCTTTATCACAAATGGCATTAGCAATCAACATACTGAACACCCACTCTTACCCCACCTCCCATATTCAGTCAGCTACATGTGAGGTGTGGCATTAAAAGCTTTGTTCAGTCTCTGGTAGAACGTTTCAACTTCTTTGATAATGGGAATAATGTTAGTGCAGATCCTTTTTTTTTCCATCCGCACTCTGCTGTGCAGAAGGAAAAAGAGGCCGTAATCACAAATAATTACGTGAGTCACCAACTCTCAGATTTTGATCCTTTACTATCCATTGTCATAAAATCGTAAGTCTGACGGTAAGTCAGTCTCTTGCTTTTTTTTTTAGGGACATTTTGTAAGGCTTTAATTGTAGGAATGGAGATCAGAGACAGAACTTCTGTTCCAGCAATAGTAATGAAAAAAAAAAACTGACTTAGCATTTTACTTGCAAAAATCCCAATCACCTCTGTCTGCTCAGTCTGAACCGATGTCACAAACCAGATAGGGTGCAATTGATGCATAGCAATGTTTAATTGGCAAATGTAATTTTTGTAACTTGTAACCTGAAATAAGGGCAGAAATTGGGCCTGTTGACACAAATATTCTTTTTTAATCATGGACGTGTTGAAACCCAGAAAACATTGAAAATGAAAATAAAATAAAAATGTGAACAAAGCAATATTAGGATGAAATCATTTAGTTTTCAATTTGAGTATAGTTCATGTCAAGTTGGTCCTGTTTTGATATCTTAAAATGATTTAAAATCCTGTGTTATACACCAACACGTCCTTCACAAAAGACGTTCTTTCCATTGTCCTGTGTAAAGCACAAGACATTGGAAAAAAGTAAAGAGATTTACTTGAAGTGAATGTGAAGTATCAAAAAAATATGTCATAAAAGGAGCAGGTAAATTGGCTGCAATACACCCGCAGATGTGCTTAAAATGAGTCTTTCATGAAATATTTGGCTCAGTTGGTGTTCTTTAAAGTTGCAGCTTTGTACATGTAGTAGATTAAAGGACTTAAGCACTGTTCCATTTTCTGGTCTTTCATTAGGCTCCATGACAGCAACACCATAGTAAAAGCCTTCATTGTCAATGCCTCTAATGGATTCATTAATGAACCTGTCAGAACTCCAATGTCATTCATTTCATGTCTGCATTCAGACCTTTTGGGTGGCTTTTTTGTACTTCATTACAGGTTATTGATTTATTTAGCCTTTGTTTACTTATTATGGTCTCCTCCAAAGCCTCTGGCACTGCTCTTACCTCCCAGAAAAGCAGCAGTCTTTCGAGATAACTTTGCTTTCTGCACACTAGCAACAAACGCCAGTGAGAAACTGCTGCGACAAGCAAGCAGATGCTTCTCGGTAGTCCTTCTGGAACAGATATATGATTTACTTTTTATTATATTATTATATATAAAAAAGTATAACACACTTTTTACTTGTTGCATTCAAAGGAAAATGAAAGATTGGAAAGTAGCAAAGCCAAATTTCTCCCCATGCAGTTGCACAAAAAGGAACGTCTGCTGCTACACTGAAGGGCAAGTATTCATCTAGACCACAGGAGTGGGCCTTCTTTTAAACATCAAAGGGAAATCACAAGCTGAAAGGAAAAGGCTGGTTCTGCTAATGGTATGATAATGATGCATGATGAGATGTTGCATGAACAAGTTGCCAAAAAAAAAGTCTCTCAGAAAACGAGGTAATGAGGTGAAAGGTGCTATGTGGAGTCAACATGTTAAGATAATGAAATGCTACCATGGAAACAACCCTAGTGATAACTTAAAACGGAAATATCCACTTTAGGCAAAAACAAAAGAGTTATAGACCCCTAGCCAACTACTTACATTTACAAAATACAGATAAAATAGGAATTTGCTTTATTTTAAGTCTTTATTATATTCTAGGAGTTGTGTTGATCTCTAATTTAGCTACATTTGTTTGAGAAGGAAAAGTGCAATATATATATTCACAAATTTGAAGTCACTTTATTAAATCAATAATCCCCTGCGCAAAACAATGTGTATAAAGGAAAGCCAGAGTGAGAGATATAGTTTTTTCATTTTTGCACACAAAACGTTTAGCTGAATTTACATTCGGTCATTTTAGTTTATGTGCTCTGTGCTGCATACTGGAGTAAACAACTAGTTAAATCTTACAAGAGAAGTGCAAGAAAACATGCAATGTATTAATTTTTAAAAATCTTGTTTACGTGTGTGTCGGACAGACCATGGGAGGCAGGCCTAATAAAAACAGTTTCCACTGTGTGAGGGAAATGCTTATCTGTGCTGAATAATTGATTGTACCACCGTTTACTCAGTTTATATTCCTGATAGTTTTAGATAGAACCAAATGTCCCAAACAATCTGACTGCAGAAATAGTTTATTTGGACATTAAAGCATGTATTACATTTCGTTGCACATTTGGATATAAACAATAACATAATATTTGACATTTGCAGAGCCACCATTGAAAATCCTGTCTGGTGAAACATAACAATGAGATGTCTAAGTACCACAGATTCAGTGGACAAAACACACTGTGGGAATACTATGCAAACGACAAACAATCTATACGGAAAGAAACCCAAGCCGCAAATTGCATCTTATACAAACCTAAGAGCTTAAGTGGAAACATTCAAGACAGAACTCAAACGCAAGGCTTTTTACAGCTCTAAACAAAGACAAACCAAGGATGTGATCTGCAAAAGTGTGCAAATGGTTGTTTATCATTTCACAGCTTTAAAATGTTAATGCACACATATATAACTCTGTAATACAGAATTGCACCCACTGATAAACATATTAATTTTAATGCAGAATATTTTACACCAAAGAGAAACATGCCGTGTACACAACCTCAATGAGTAAAGTAAGAAAATGTTTACACTTAGGTTCTCGCCTCCTCATCGTTTGCCTGAGTAAACTCAGTTGGCACCATTTTAAAGATTTCTCTGGAGGTGTAAAAGTACAATTATGTATCTCCTTTGCACAAATTGAGTTTCATATACTTTACATAGTTAATATGTTCATACAAATAATATATTGACACCTAAGAACAGCATCAGCATGCAAGATATAAAGCAAGCACTCTGCTCCATCAAAACAACAATTTGAAAACTGACAAGGAGGTTCAGAACTGGTCATGAAGGTAAAGTCAGACAGCTGTAGTTTAGCTTATATCAAGAAAAGATTTCCTAACAGGCTGAAGTTCCTGGACGTGCGAGCTACACTTGTACACGGGGTAGAAAATGTTGTGGCGTGGAGTTAACCGGCTTATTGATTGTCATCATCGACATGCACAGATTAGACGAGGAAGTGTTGCACCGCTTTGCTGTTCCTCTTGAGCTGTTCGCATGAGCGTTAGTCTTCATTAGATCTTGGGATCTTGGTAGAAGTCAAACAGAACAACAAAGGCCTATTTGGACATCCCTCCACAGCTGACAACCTCTCAGCATCTTTGGAACTGGCCGATTAAAGCAAAAGCTCAAAACAGCTGAGTAAGACATTCCTTTGCCGCTTTTGAAGTGTGAATCACTCAGTCTTTCATTTACATTAAGTACAAGCCAATATTAAGGCAAAGAGTAGAGAAAAAACATCAGAAATGTATGCAATTTCTGACTAACCCATGTCAATTTCTGCATTTGTAAAGTGGGATGTGACAACTGCGTAAAAATATTCATATTGAACCAACTGCCGCTTGCTTGGTAATACATTATTTTTCCTCATATTCCTCCTGTTGTTCTTGCAGTTTGCCACCAAAACATTGGATATTTTCATAAGATATTCATATATTATTAACATAGTAACTGGAAAGTCTTTTATATAAGGCAATCTGCACACATGTCATGTCAGCAAAGCTGGATCCTTTGTCAAGTTGAGTGCTGATAGGGCAGATTTAGGCTGACCGTGGCCTCTCGTGGCTCCACTCTCCTCGGCCTGTTGATCATTTCACATTCGTTCTGTCGCCCGTGCTCCTCGTTCATGTGCGACACCTCCGTGGAGCCCGCCTCAAAGCCGGGCCCGGTGTTGGCCACGTGAACGACGTGCACCTTGTTTCTCCCGTTCTTGATGAGGATGCAGCTGAAGACTTTCTTGAAGCCCTTGCGAAAGTGCTTGGACACGAGGGCGTACACGATGGGGTTGACGCAGGAGTTGGCGTAGGCCATGCAGTGAGAGAGGAGTCTGAAGGCGTACGTGGTCTGATTGAAGGGGAAGTCTCCATACAGATAGCAGAGTATCACCACATGGTAGGGCAGCCAGCATATGCAGAAGAGCACCGTGACGATGATGATCATTTTGGTGACCTTACGTTTGGCCCTCTTGGATTCCGACATGCCGTCTAGAGGGTCGACGGCTGTCCAGAGGTACTTGATTGTTCGAGTGTAGGAGAGGCTCACAATCAGCACGGGGACGATGTATCCAACGAGGAAGGTGCACGTGTCAAGGACCTTCCGGTTCTGTTCCTCCCAGCCGGGGATGCACACAGTGCTGTTGGCGTAAACAATCAGGTCATAGTAGCTGAGATATGGACCGGCGAAGACCAGGGAAAGACCCCAGATGACCACCATGGCAACCACAGCGTTACACGGGGTTCTTAACTCTCTGGAGCGCAGTGGGTAGCGTATGGCCAGATATCTGCAATGAGAGAAAGAAAAGAAAAACATGCTGAGCTGTAATTTGCAGCATGATTCAAGAAATTATTGTTACAACTGTCAATTATTTAATAAAAATGCGGACATGAAAATTCCTCGTCAAAAGCATTTGATAGAGCAAAAGATAGAGAATCAGTCAGACGAGGAATAAGAACCAAACAAATAAACTATATAATCTGAGGAAGAATAATTATCTCTAGGCGTATTATGGGGATTCTCGTAGGTATCATGCAGAACAACCACAGATATAAGCAAGTGGGGCTTTGTTGGGGGGCTGATTTATGTACACTGAACTAATGAAAAAAATAATTAGTCCACTCGTCATGATTTTAGTTACTCACTTTTAGATACTCACAAATGTGAATGTAACCCTTTTATGAAGAATACTTGATAGAAAGATTTAAAAAAAAACATTGTCACCCAGTCAAAACTCTGTTTGATAAAACCTGCTAGAAGGCACATCCGTTATGTAGACTCTTTCTTTTTTGTTTGCATTTCAGTTTGTAGTAAAAAATGTGCAGAAATATTGATTAATTCAGAATTAGAAATACCTATGTGAATGATATTTTTTGTTTATTGTTCTACATTTTATTAAAGACTTAAAGGAGACTTCTGCTTAAATAAAATGTTATTTTTATCTACGTTTTGGGTCAGGTATTTGCAGGGTTATTCGGAAATGGTGTGTTCCTCTTCAGCTAATTGGATGCTTTTTTCAATTTTGTCACTAATTTGAATGGCTCATTGTGCAGTTCTATTTGTGAACCCTAAAATAAACACCTGAATATTTCACTGCAGAGGTGTATGGCTTGCAGGCTCTATAAAAGAGAATCAACACTTAGAAAAAAAAAACCTCCATTCTTTAGCAAACAGTCAAGATTTCCCAAATGTAATTTTCCAAAAAACATCAGCACTCAAATACATGACTTACTTTGAAATGTAGTGACCTTGCAAGTATTTTATTCATTTGAGAGAGCTGTTGAGAGCAATCATTCTTTACTAAGAATGCTTCAACTGACTCAAACGACAAGCATGACTCATACCGAAGGCTCAGCGTTGGATGGCAGTGAAAAACAAAACAACTTCTTTTTTCTGCTGAGTAAAAACATGTAAATGTAACTCTGTCACACTGTGTGCAAGATCCACTGAGAGGGTTTTGGTCTTTTTAGAAAACTGAAGTCTGCTTTGATGCTTTGTGTGGTTGCCCTCAGGTGAAAGAAGCAAAGCAACAGCATAAAAGTAACAAGAACCAACTAAAACTAAGCAAAATGGCGCTCAATATATAGAAAACATGACACTATTGAAGAGAACAGCATCAAACTCAAAACACCAATGTAGAAATGAAGTAACATTTAATAAAAGATAACATATCCATATGATACTGTGATAATAAAAAGGCAAAAATGTCTAATAAAAAATCGTGAATGAGAACATTTCCAACACTATCATTTTCACACTTTATTGTCTGGTTCTAATTCCTTGGTCTTTGGTATCTGTTAATGCCATATTTGGCATTTAGTTTAAGGCTTCTGTGTTCTCTGACGCATTTGAGCATTTTTTGCCCACGGCTGGGTCACCAAATTCCCTTCTTTGCGTTCTGCATTTCCAGAATGCTTCAACCAGCACTCCAGAAACAAGGGAGGACAGCCTTTCTGCTTTTTGAAATCTCACTCACTCGCACTTATGCTTGACATGAAAGGCATAGAGTACACACTTTGAGCCTACTCACATGGACCCTCAGTGCTTTGGACATCTTCAATTGCTGAGACATCACTCCCTGGGGTCCCTACTGCAATTGGCAATAAGTACTAAGTAAAAACTGAGATGGATAATTTTGACGAGATGGTTTAGGTTTTCTTACTTTGAATTATGTGCTGCTCAATCAATTCAGTTAAACTGTATAAAAGCAGGCTGAGAAAAATCAATTCAATTTAATGAGGATTTACTCACTCAAGATGCTCCTGCTCTACTTTCTTCACAAAGTACATAGAAAATGATTATCGACAAGAGGATGTCTTAACCTTAAAAAAATGATAATTCTCCAGGCTTTCTTAAGTTCTTCCACAGTTCACGTTAGGATAAAACTTCATTACTTAAAGCACGTCATAAAGACAGAATATTGACAGAAGAATAATTTTTAAGAAGGGTAATGTGGGGACACGTCAAGGATTTATAAAATGAAAAGAAAATGTAACATTATTGAAGACAGTAAGTCTCACAAAGTGACAATGCACCACAAGAGCTCAGACCGCAACATTATTATTAAAGCATCAGTCTATAATGACAAATAAAGATCATTTTGAGTGTTCATGCTCGTAGTTATGTTTTTCTTTATGTGTGTGTGTAGGTGTGTTTGTGTCCCCCGTGTGTGTATAGAACATCATGAGGAGACTGGGAGAAACAGAAGACATTCATTTTGAACCTCCTGACTCAGATGTTCTTTCTCTTTTCCTCGCAGAGGAGGAAACAACGATTGGATCTCTAAGGGGCAAAGATTGCCAGAGTGAGCACTGCTGCAAAAGACACCGTGACTGTGATGATTGTGTTGCTAAACAAGAATAATGATGTCTTTGAGCTTGCTCCGCGAGGGATATAATTTTCAGTCAGGCATACTGTATGATTACCTCAGAAGATATTCAATTACAGCTTCTGCATCTTTGCAAGGTCCGGTCAGACTTTGATTAATTCTATACATTTCTGCCATCAAAGTCTGAAGCAAATTTAGATTAAAAACTAACTGGACAAACTGACAAAGCAACCACGGACAGAACACCAAATACCTCAGTCACATTCCTTAACCTACTTATCAATTTTCTTCTGTTGTAGCAACTTTTTAAATTTTTATTGGCCAAAACAGTGAACAAGCACATTTGGCTCTAAAGAGGAGCTTGGCAGCTCTGAGAAGATGGTGGACTTTCCCTCCCTCTCTGCTGTGTTTCAGCTCTCCCTCTGACCCCTCCCTGCAGAGGAGCTTTTTATCCATCCATGGGCTAGTCACCGTGGCAACTGAAGAAAAAATGAACTAATTAGACTCTTGGCTCGATTTGTTTCTGCTCAGACTCAATGTTTGCGGAGCGTATTAGGAGAACTGTGATTATCTGTTTCTCATGTCACTGTCAGGGCATTGTGAAAGTTTCACCTATTATCATTAAGTATCTTTGTCATATGTAGCCAGATCAATGGAAGAACAGGAAGACAGATGAACGTCCCGTTAACTGTGGATATGTTCTGCAAATGGCTGTTTGTGTCCTTAGCGCCTTTCCTACATCCTGCCCAGAGGAAGTCTCTCCTTTTGACACCTTATAATTCATCCATCCATTTTCTGTGCCCGCTAAGAATGGCAACCGTGCACACTTACTCCTACGGTTATTTCAAAGTCATTGGGAAAAAAACAAAAAAACAACTAACATGCATGGTTTGGATGATGGAATGAAGCTTTTGTACCAACACATATGTAGGGAGAACATGCACACTCCCGACAGGAAGGTCCCCAGCCTGGATTTGAGATTTTTGAGATTGCAAATCTAAAGATAATCAAATTCTTTTTTTTTCTTGCCTTCTTGTTCATGGGGAGAGTTAGAAGTCTTTTTCAATAACTTCATTAAAACTGCAGGAAAGTGTTGACTCTGGAACACTCCAGTGCCTCAATCTATTTGCATTTGTTTAAATTCAGGCCACAGACTTTGGTCTAAGTTAGATTTATAGAAATGAGATTGAGAATCTTATGAGGGTAAAACACAAAAGAGAGGTCAGGACTACATAACTATAGCTGTCAAAGGAATGAACAGCGCACTTTGAAGGAATGTTTGGTATTTATGTGCATGATATATTAATTCTGGAAACTGAATAATTTATTTCAAGGCTAAGAAAACTGGTAAACTGATTAAAGGCCAACGAACAACAAAGCTTTGTAGAGTTTTAATTTCTCATTGGGGTGTGGGATTTATTGTTTGAGACCTGACATTATAAGCAATAAAGGACAGCTTAAATGTATCCTTCTAGCTAAGAGATTTCATTTACTTGCTTATGGGTTATTGTTATGGGTTAGAGGATAAGGACAATTATCAGAATGTGTTTAAGAGTGTGAAAAGGGATCAAACACAAAATTTGATTCCAAACACTGTAATTTGATGGTTTGCATCTGTTTTCAGCTACATGAACTCAAACAAAACAAGCAAATGGAAGAGATAATCTATTCTTCTTTTTATATCAAGCCACAGACCAGGTAATTGCAATAATGGCCAGGAGAAAAATACATGAAAATGCAAGAAAATTAGGCCACAACATCATACCTTGTAATAATATGTATGTGTTTAAAAAAACACACAGTTGTTATTTTCTGATAAATATATTGAAAAGTGCCAACCTGTCAACTGACACAGCAGCCAGTGTGAAGCTGCTGGCATACATGGTGAGGTTGATGAAGAAGTGGACCACTTTGCACATGAAGGAGCCAAACACCCATCCCTCCAGGGAGTAGATGGTGGCTTGGAAAGGAACGCAGAAGATGATGAAGAAGAAATCAGCCACGCTCAGGTTGAGTATGAACAGATTAGTTGTGTTGTATCCGACTTGTCCGCTCCGCAGCAGCACTGCGAGAACCAAGCTGTTCCCGATGGTGCCCAGCAGGAAGATGAGGGAAAAGACCACTGACACGATCACGCTGGTGGGGTTCAGCTGGTAGCTTTCAGATGCATTAGCCTGCCCTCCTGACCGGCTGAAATCCTCAAAATCGGACATTTTGCACGGCTAGAATTAGAAAAGAAAGGAGACAAACATGTCAGGCAAATTCTGATTAGAAACTCAAGTGAAAAAAATAAGTATTCTTTTAACTGAGGGGTTTTCGTATTGTTTTGCTGGTGTTCTTGGTCATAAATGTGCATTGCACAGTAACCTATGGTTACCTAAGGTTGAAAGTTTCAAGCTCAGCTGTTTATGTTCAACTCCCTCCATTTCCAGTAGGGGGGGTTTTGCTCCTTAAACTAAAAAACAACTATTGTCACTCTTGCTTCTGTAGACTGGTGGCAGCAGGAGGCCATTATGAGCTGTATGAACAGACTTATCTGGCTGTTTTTGGTAGGAGACTTGTTTGATTGAACTATTTTCAGGAGTTAAGGTAAGTGGTGAGTTTTTTTTTTTTTTTTTGTCAAACCATACTTTTTAAACGATTGCTCTCAGCATTATTCAGAGAAAGAAAGGTTAATCCTAAATTTATGATAGCAACATGATTTCGTAATATATATCTCGGCTGTGTGTTTCAAAAATCAACCTAAAGGTTTCTAGGTAAGTGGACAAATAAGCCTCTCAATGCAGCCTGCTCAGCTTCGCTCTGCTATAATTGAATGGATGTTTTTTAGTGCGGTCCTGTGGTTTAATTCAGCCTGTAGATGCTCATCCCTGCCTGAAATACTATGCTTCCAGCCAACGTTCCAGAGACTTGGTCAATTATGGTGAGTACTGTAGTACCAGGTAGAGAATTGCATTGGTATAGGTCCTATCTGAATTAATAAAAATGTTACTTGTTTTCCAAAGGGATGTTTTCGGCGGCATCAGTGTGCAGAGTGGCCTTTACTCTATTTTTTTTCAGACTGCTATATTTCACAATGGCAAGTGGTGCAGAATTGATAGTAAAGTGGTGCTCATGGCGGTGAATCACAGCGATACATGCACTCACACGTGGAAGCGTGTCTCAAAACATTTTATTTTGTCCCATCACACTGTCACATGGTTCAGTATTGGATGAAATTATTGAAGTGTTTGGAAAATAGATGGCTATAAACACCAGTTGGGCTTGGCTATTTGATTTCAGTATATGGCAGCTGACGCAAAGAACTGACTGGCAGATATGGACACTTAAGGAAGTGGTGGGTATCCATTAACCAAATGGGTACATAAACAGTCAACAAGTAGGATATGCACAGAGAAGAATAAACTAGTGTTTTTAGTTGATAATGTTAGGGTTTGTGTGCTACCCTTCAAAACTAACGTTAGGCTGTGATTCAGAAGCTCTCAGTTATCTCAAGTTTTTTAAATCAGCTCTTCATCTTCCTCTGATGAAAAGAGTAATAACTAGAAGCTCATCAAAGACATCATCAAAGTGTAGTGTTGATGGGAAAGTGGATTCGATACGATCTTGAAAGTCATGTCACCATCAAACAGTGCACTTAATTCATTCCATGTTAAAGCCTTATATGTGCACAAACCGTTTGAATTCCATGGGAACGCAAATATTTATTTCCCCCAAGCTGTTACCATCCTTATTGACAACACAGAATTTGTGCTGCATTTGCATTTTTCAATCATTAAAGCAATTAGTGAAAGGAAGCAACCCACACATTTGACACCACTGCATACCAAGCTAGAGCTAGAGCAATTACTGGCTACAACAGAAACAAAAATACCTCACTAATACTGAGTTAGCCTTAAGCAATAATATGGCATGAATTGGATAACAAAAGATACACAGATAACAGCTGCTAATTATCCAAATTCAAAGGCAATTTCACATGATGGATGTGCCGTATACTTATTTTTTCAACTGTGATGTAAAATTGACAAAGATGGATGGAAAGTGCAACACAGCAGCTGCTTTAAAATGGACATATTGGCCTCATTTCTTTTAGTCTTAAATTCTCAGTAAATTATTCAGGTTTGTCAGAGACAAAATTTGCAGAGAAAAACTGACAACATGTTAAGAGATGCTGAATCTTTGAAGATTTCCCACGTCAACATTGGGCAAAAAGCTGAGAATTATTAGCTGAACACATAAAACTTTATCAGCCTTGGACTATCAGTCTGTACTGCAGACTCATTAGCATATCCAGTATCAAGACTGTGGGCACGATGGATAGAACATGGTGATCCCTGTGGATGGCAGATTACTGTCAATTAAAGTGGAGAGAATAGAGGTAGGGATGCCTGTAATAGATTTATATGGAGGCAATAACATCCACGGGTTGCTGCTGTGGAGGAATTTATTCACAGCCCTGTGACCGTCCAGGCTTCAGTGGTCCCTGTCATATTGTGGCTGATTTCTCTTTCCTTTCCACTTAGGAGGGAAGTCTGGAGCGAAATTAAACTCCATATGTGGTGAGATATCAAGGCTAAGAGTGACGCTCAGCATGCTTCTCACTGGGATCAGAGGCAACAGCGATAGACAATGGAGCCTTATGATCCTCCATGGCTGAGTGTGCAGCAGTTAGAATCGGTGTGTTGTGATGATATGATTAGAGATTTTGGAGCGATAAGTCATGACAACAGCAGACCCACACAGGAGGGTGACAATGTTGTAGCAGAGCTTAAATGACACCCTGTGGCAATATATTTTGAAAGCATCATCATGAGCCTTTAGATATCAAGCACAGATAGAACAGCCTAATGCAGTACTTCAATTCTTCATCAGTAAGCGGCAGAGACTGGGTAAGACTCATTATTTTGCATTGTGCCTGTTCAACTTTAGATATCAACAGAAAAAAACAACAACATTTCTATGAGAGCATGCAAATGTTAACGCCACACATCAATTAGAAAAGTAAATACAGTTGCAATTACATTATGTATGAGCTGCAATTCTAGCATGTAGATCGGGCAGATGCAGGATGACAGACCTACCTGACAGATGTGGAGTGGACTGCATCCAAAGCTTCAGCGCTCTTCTTACATTAGGAGGGACTCTCCCAGCAGACCTGCTCCGTTAGGACGCTCATTCTCATTTCTCTGAAGCCTCTGCTCTCCCTGCCTGCTATCTGCCCGTATTGCTGGTATCTTACTCTTTCTCCGCCTGCCCACCCCCACCACTCTCCCCCTGTGAGAACTCCTCCTCCACATTCACTTTAATGTTCACACTTCACTGCAGAAGGGGATGGTAGAGTGGAGGTATGGAGGGAGTTTGCAGCATCTGTCGGACTATTTTCAATTACTGTGTAATCAGGAGGGTATCTGATGAATAGATGCTAAGCCTGTGTAAGACCTAGCATAAAACCGTCCCCCTGAAGTCCCCATCCGAATCACTTATCTTCAAATGAAGTCTGATCTCTGCATTTTGTATTAATCTTTGACGTTGTTGGAGCTGTGAGAGAAAATAGATCTATATAAACGAGTATCAATCCAGCTTATTTGGCTAAGTTAAAGAAAGGGCTAATTATTTTTTTCATCCTTGTACATAATACCTGAGTTTTAGTAGCCAATGCTGATTTATAATTAAGGAGGATAATGTCTCTACTAAGGCCTAAGACTCCATTGTTTTCAATTAAATGTATGCTCCTCAAGTGATTTCCAACAACTTATCCTCAGTTCAACCTAATGATTTCAGCTCTTTTAATGCATTGCGTAACAAGTCCTCACATGCTGCTTGTGTCTCACATTTGACAATACAGAAAGACATTTTTACATACAAGGTTTAGCACCTAAAGGGAGCAAAATTAATCTGAGCCAGGGGCATTGTTTCAGCTTAGTAGTAATAGTAATTGTAAGAGAGTTTCCATTATTTTAGCAGCAAATTAAAAAAAAAACAACTGTTGATGTCTTTTTATGGCTTGATGTAAATATTAGTTCTTTATATGTTCACCTACTTTTCAAATGAGAAATTAACCTCTTATACAAATGAACAGAAGTACAATAAGTTTTATCAAGAAGCTGTGTATAGTGTATCTTCTCCAGAGCTTGTCTTCTTATGCATTTAACATTGTGTAATGTTTATCAATGTTATCTTAATGAGGGGAATAAAAAAAAAAATTAAATTGAAAAGAAAAAAAATCTACAATGATACAATAGCTAGAGAGGACCCATTCAGATAAAAGCAATCCGCTTTTACCCAAATGGAAAATGAATTGGGCTCACGGTCAGTAACAGGTCAAGCTGACGCAAACAGACTCATTCGGAAAGGCAACGCAAATAGCTGGGATGCAGAAAAAGAATAGACAGATATAAACAATGATGCCAATGTTTGCTCATTGTTGGCTATGATTCATATTGTCAGGACTGCAGGGGACAAGCTTTTCAAGGGCTGTTTGGGGCTCAGCACACCCACTCTTAGACATCATCTACTATGTCTACACTGAAGATTTTTACCAAGCATCTATACAGCATTTTACTCTTTTTTCCAGTCAGCTGCGTCTTCTATAAAAATATTTGGATATAATCAGTACATCTTATATTCATTCAATACAACTTAAAGATCAGTACAATCCAGCATCCACAGCATTTATTCTGACACCTGCAACAAGTAAAAAAAAGAACACAAAATGAAAAGTCCAATTTGACACCTAATGGAATAACAATGGTTGAACCCTTATAAGTGAAAATGATCAGATTTTTACATCCACAAACTTCAAAGCTGTGTTCCGGTCCACATAAGCAGCATTATTCCCTTGCTGTGTGCTAACAGAGCTTCCTTCATTAAAAGTTCACACATCCAGAGCAGTTTCCTAAAGTCATCAGTGTCAACATCGCTTTCTAGGTGCATGATTTGGCTAGATCTAATCAGGTTTGAGAGGTGACGATAAATTCATGCTGTAAAGTAGAGACGATGAAGCTGAAGTCATGCAGTGCAGTATTTTGGGATAATGGGTTTATGCACGCTTTCAAGATCCTGCCAATACATGCCATTTTCTATGTTTTTTGTATTCATTAACCGTGCCCACTAATCACCATGACCATGTGTTCATATCCGCACTGCTGGACCAGCCAATAAAAAAGGAAGAAGCAGGTTTTTGTCAGCAGGTAAGGATAGCCCTGTCCATCAGTTTGCATATTGCATATATTAATCTTGATTAATGTTAATAAAGAAAAAGAAGAGATATGAACACATTTTTAATAGGAATGACACTTGTATGTGTAGAGTATTTACTTTCATTGTGGGATGAGAGAAGTGTCAATGCTGAGAAAGTCTTTCATATAAAAAACCTTTCCTGGGAGAACAATAAGGCTTTACTGTTTATATCCCTCTGACACATTTGTGTGTCATTTTATTTATAGTGGGCTGGTAGCATTGTTCGCATGTGGATTCTTTCTCTTCTCCTTTTTCCTTTTTTTTAAATAACACAATCACTGTACCTCCAGTCACTCACCCATCCATCTATCTGCCAAATGTGCATCATCAACTGCAACAACTGGTTGCAGTCAATTCTAATAAAATAGCCATATGTCACCATGAGGATGTGTGTTTGTAGCTCCTGAGGTACTTCAGTGAGTAACAGACCCCCATCTCATTTACTGAGGTACTGGTTCTGTTATCTGTGAACCCACATGAGTCACTGAAGCTCCTGGCATTGTCTCTATCTTCATTACCTCCGAGGAAGAAGAGCAAATACTTTGCCAGATCATTAGGGACTGGCGTAGGCTGCCGTGGTGGTGGTGGTGGCAGATTTGGCCTTGGTCCTGAGTCCGACATTGTATGCGGCCTCATAACTGTCAGTGTGACACATTTCTGTGTATTGGTGTTCATGCACAATCTCAGACGTGTTGACAGCCCTGCTGTCAACTGTCATCCATCAATGACCTGCAGGAGGCTGGGACACACACAGCAACTTGTGAAAAAAAAAGAAAGATTAATGCTCCGTATTTAATCACAGATCGCAGACTTTGTGGATTTCTCCATATTTTCGTCAAGACTGCGTGATATTTGGCAGTGACGTGTCAAATCTGTTCAGGCCTATAAATGCTTAGTTACCAACTTAAGCGATACCATTTGGGTAAAATCAACTATAGCAGTTCTGCCACTGTTTAAAATGGAGGGCGCGGACAAAAGCCATCAAAACCGCTCATTTTGGACGATGACGAATTCTGGCTTCAGTGTCAGACAAATTAACATTCAGAAATACCTCAGGGTGTTGTTTCACATGGAAGTTTCCATGACAACAACTGATGGATCACAATAAAAGGGCGGTTAAAAGAACAAGATTGATTCCTCGATACAGAATACAACTGTGTGCATCCAAATGTGATACAACGTGGTATAACTAGTGAATTATTAAGGGCAGCTTGAGGCAAGCGTGTTTCTTATTCTTACACAGACTTAAAAGATATATCATAGAGCTGCATAAAGATCTGCTCTTGACCACTCAGTCATTTAATGTTAGCCAGCTTCAAAGTTACTGAAATGATGACCATTAAATATTAAACTAATTAATTAATTTACATTGCAACATTCATTTTACATTTGACTTATTTTTACTATGACAGAGAAGCATAAAGAAAGTCAGCAGCCTTCCATACTTGTAGTAACAAACTAACACAAATATGAAAATATTTTACTTGGGAAATGGATGTTATTCTTTGTACCTGTGACATATGGTTACATTTTCTGACCCTATGTACCTATGTACCTTGTAGGAATAACAACTATGGTGTTGACAAGCCATCAAATTGCTCCTATAATTAAACTGTGACAAAAATACTAATAGAATAATTATCTTTGAGGAGCAATATCTAAAGGAAAAAAGACTCACTCTCAACACAGTTACTTTGAACCGACTGGCTGATTAATTTGAGTTCTATGGCAAAACAAGAATTTAAGATCGATGGTTTACAGTACAAATCAATTACCTGGCAAGTACAGGGTTGATATTTGAGCAAGCTTTATGGTGCTCTCAGTGTAAATGATCAATCAACACAATATCCTCAAAGGAAATGAAAGGTGTATCTAAGGCGAGGTGTCAAACTCCCATCCTCACCTTGGTTCATTATCAGGAGAGTGTTTACATCACTCAGCTCTGCTCAGGCTGGTGAAATAAAAGGTTAGTGTCTACACTGGGCTGATAGATCGGCTCACTGAGGATAGTGAAGGAGGAAGACATAACATACCACACTACAGCACAGGGACCACTGAATGAAAGAATTCCACATGTGCTAAATGTATTAACGTAGAGGTGCTGGTTCTGGTAAATGGTTGCTGTGAGTACCTTTTTTTTGTTTCTTTGCTCTTCAAGTTGTATAATGGTTTCTTCACCATTTGTGCATGCATTATTTGCCCTGAGCCTACTACAGTACAACAATTGCAAGATCAGGTAAGAAAATGGCTTATTTTAAAGGGAAAAAAAGGCTCCAGACCAGGAAGAATAGTGGTACACACTTTCAACAATCTGGAAAACATAAAACAAAGAAGAGATAAACACAAAGAAAAACCTATTTATGCTGTTTAAGTGTTGAAATGGTGGCACTGTGGTGTGGTGGTTTGCAACATTGCTTCATAGCAAGAGGGTTCTAGGTTCAAGTCCTTTCTGTGTGGAGTTTGCATGTTCTCCCTGTGTCTGCGTGGGTTCTCTCCGGTTTCTCCAGCTTCCTTCCAAAATCCTCCATGTTAGGTTGATTGGACATTTGAGTGAGTGTGAGTGAGAGTTCATCCAGGGTGTAGCCTATCTCTCGCTCATTGACTTCAGGGATGGGCTCCAGTCCCCCCGTGACCCCATTTGGAAATAGACAGTTCAGAAAATGGATGGATGGAAGTATTAAAATGCCATGGTTACAGACAGTAACATTCACATCGTTAAAACCAAACTGTTCTTTGTAACTTTTTCTAATCAGCATATGCTCATTAATTTCTGATTCCTATTAAAACAGGTTGGCATCATTTTTTGATAACTTCATGACATGATGACCATTTGCTCAGAGCTTTGCAGAATTATTGTTAAAAGAGGAAACTCATGAATTTTAATGCAAAAAGGTTTCTGTATGAGAAAGCTCTGTGTCCAGACATAGAGGCTGTGAAGGCTGGGACAATGAGCCTGAGAGGTGTCAAATCAGAAAAAAAATCCAAAGCAATCCAGTTAACACCCATGCAGACTAACTCTAAAACCAAATTGGGATGTGACTGCAGCTGGAAATGAATGCAGCTGGATTGCAGTGCCACTTTAGGCCAGTCCAGGTCTAGGTTGCATATAGTGTATGATTATCTTTCTGTTGTCATAGAAACCCATGTAGATCACAGCATACCTCCACTCAGTAATGAATACAATAACTTTGTCTCATGTCACCGATGGGGCGGTGAGAGAGAAACATGAGCCTGAAGGATTTGCTGTTGGAATTTTTCCCTTTTTTGTGCCGTGTCTGCACTTTGTTCCAGACCCTCATCAGAGCTGTCATATTCACTCATTTCCTGATTTGTCATTGTTAGATTTTTGACCACACTGTATGTGTTTTTTTTCACTGTTTATTAAGGTTTATGCCAGCCTGCCTTTTCAACAGCATGGCAAACAACACCACAGCCAAAAAAAGCATTGCTATTGAGAAAATTTAGAAGTTTTTAATCAAATAAACATGTTTGAAAATATTTGTTTGTCTGCTGTTTTTTTTAACCTCCAATTTTAATGTGATAATGAGTGAAAGAATAAAAGGACTGAGTGAAATGATTCAGATACTTTTTTTAATTGGGGAAATCGTGTGATCAGAGCAATCGTGAAATCATATAGGCATTAATTAATTAATTATTGAGGAAAGTTCATTCATTTTTAATGAGTGACTCAGAGCAGTTTTGCATGAAAGCACTTTGTCCTGACAGTCTCTCAAGCACCTGCAGCTATCGTCAGCACGACAAACCCAAACATTGCACAGGTTTATGCCTCAGCTCACACAAAAACGCAGGTACCTTAACCTGATTTATTCCACAATTCACTCACCTCTTCAAGTCACTATATTTATTCATATCTGACAGCAAAATACAGAGGATTGCTGATTGTGGTGTTGTTTGAATGAATATTTCATGGGAAAATGTTACCTCCTTTAACACAGAAAGCAGTATAGGTGCAAAATACTGGTAGTTTAATGTATGTAGTTAAGAAAGGTTCATCACAGAGAAGAAGCAAAAATGGTTCTCTAACATTCCCAAAGTTGTCATTTGACATTTGATTTGAACATTCAGCTGAGGAAATAGAGAGCATACATTTATGCCTAAAACAGAAAACATGTAAACATCACAGTGTGTTCTCATGCATGTTTATCATCCTATCCCATCTTTTGTAACCTCACAGTTTTCAGGAGAATATTTCTTTTGCTATGTCCCCATATAAAGGATAGAACAACCATTGTCCATGAACTGAGGATATTTTTGCTCAACACCACATTCTCTCCCGAGGGCAACCCAAGATGGACAGAGAACAACAAATATGAGCATGGATGACCGATGAAAAAGATCTTTCTGTGACATAAGTGTGATTGCACGAGACTCAAAGCTGCTTCTCACCAATGATGTGCACTTGCTTTTTATTGATCAAACTGACTCCCTCGTGTCCTTGGGCTTCTTGAAGAATAAATATGGTGTTGGTGTGAGTAGTGGGGATAATTACAAGCAGAGACCTCCAGACAGAACCAGACACAGCTCAATTAGTGGAAGCTGAAGCAGAAAAATGCTTGGGAATTGTCCATTTTTTACTCTGCCATGACAAAGTGTGGTGAAATGTTAATGGGATGTCCTCTGAAAAATATTTCGGGTCTTGTAATAAATTTCTACAAAATAGCAGTTTTAAAGATCTAGCTAAATCCAGATAACACACAATGTGTGGCACCTTTCAGTATGATAACATTTAACCACTAAAGTACATATAAAGACCATCTGTAGATACCTCTTTTTTAAGGAAAATCTGTATTTTTTTTGTCCCATCTTTTGAATAATTTAGTTTCTTGTTTGACCAAAATCACGACTTTACTGGATCTGTGAAAAGGGTGAACTGTTTAATCAATGACTCCAGTCTCATTGGAGTCAAGGCTCATTTATTTCCCCACTACCTACTTGTGAGTATTCTACATAGGGGTTTACAACCATGTGCTGCCTTATTACATATCTCTACCTTTTATGCTTGATCAACACTCATCTGTTCAATGACTAAATGTTTGTCATTAGGGGGGAAATAACAACACTGTTCAGTCTCACATTTGTACAATAATGAGTTTCAAGCATGCTTATCATAGTTATGGAGTACTTGCTAAGCCTCCAGCTAAGCAATCAATGCCTTTAAATGAGTGTATTTTTCTGCTCTGGCTTTCCCTTTTATAATGTATGACAAATTGTCCAAAGCAGAGCAGCAAATACCAAATTTGCAGCTTAATCTTTGTTTTCTTCTATCTGGTTATATTCACTTTGTTCTTTTTACTTAATATTCAGATACTGCCCCTCTCTCCCGGTTCACTGATGCAAAACCTCCAGGAGCCGTCTGCATGAGTAAATTCATTGTACAAACAAAGAAATGTCGCTGTGTTCCCACAGCAATAAATTCTGTTATATTAGCTGAAATGGGACTCGTGAAAACGTGCATGTTGAAACAGTTTTGAACTTGACGAACCTTTTTCGGCAGAAGCTTTTGGGCTACTGTCTGACAGCTTTTCCACAACTTTTCCATTAGCGCTGACACAACAATAACGTTTTCTGCTCCACTCTTCTGTGGTCCTGCTGCGCTGTGAAATGGCACTTGTGACACTAGGAAATTACAGCCGTGTTACATCTCTGAGTGTTTTCCTCCTCAGCTTCCTGCATACGGATTTCTCCGAAGCATAGATCCATCCGTAGAACTGATGCAAGGTACAGAGAAGAAGGGTAAGACACTTCAAGGTTTCAACTCAAATCATATTGGCCCGTTCAAAGTAGATTGAGTGGAGCTGTGGATTAATTGAAACCAAAGCTATCAGACCCCTTCCGTTTATCTGCTTTCTTAAACAAAGAAGGTTTAGTTCTACATAGACTACATCTAGAGCACTCAAACCTCTACCTTTTTGTTAATATACAGTATATGCGTACATTAAAATTTCTGTCTTTTGGAGAGCTTCAACACACACTGGAGGTCAGGCATTGGACACTAATGTACCACCATGATATCACTGATTTGGGCTTTTGTGCCTTATGTTGAGTTTTTTTTGTTGCATTTTCCAAACTTAAATGTAAGCAAGACTTGACGCTAATGTAAAGATCCACTTTATATTCACTATTGTGCCTCTTTTAAAATAAATCGTCATTCTGGCATTATGAATTGCCATCTCACGCGAAATGGGTTTGGAAAATAAACTCATTTTTCCTAAAGATTTCAGTCCAATATTATGTTTTTGTCAAGTAGTGGTCAAAGGAAACTTAGTCAGGCTCCAACAGCAGCAGAGCTGTATCATTATCTTTCTGTGAAGTGAATCTTCACTAGTTTCAATTTATTTGCAAGTGAGAGAACAACAATCAACCTGAAAGACTCGAAGCACCAAGTGACAAATTCAAAGGACACCAAGGAGATCATGTCCCCTTTTAAGAATGCGGTTGTTTGGCTCTCTGAGTGGAGATGGTTTGCGTCACAGGAACCAGGTGCATCGAATGAACACACCTCATCACATCCTGAGCTTAAATCTGGAGAGACAAGGAGCAACAAAGGTGAAAAGCTTTTTTCTTTTAGATGTGTAAGAGTCTGAATGTTTTCTCCACCCACGCATTGACCTTTAAAACAATCGCTTTCAGAATTTCCATGTTCACAAGGAGTTTTTTTTATTTTCATCTTGTGTCTCAGTCAAGCCAGAGAACCCTTTGAATTTTACAATGTGTCAAGAAAGAAAATTTGAGGACAGAGATGCATTGGTAAATAAATAACGCTTACAAACTATTAGGTCGTGAAATATGTAAATATATGCAAAGACAATGAGTTCATCTAATGAAAAAGCATCCCAGTGACTGAAGGCTGAAGAACATGTGTAAAATAAATATGGAAGCCACATGGCTATTATCAAATAAAGGTAATTATACTTCTTTGTGACACATGCAAGCTGCTGCTGGTTGAAGAGGTCGTGCTCAGCACCTCTATTCCCTGAACCACGCTTTTAAATATCACTATGTAAATGGCTTTGGTCTGCTAATAATGCCAAAACACTCCGCTCTCCAGCATGGCATTTTACCAGCTGGCATTGTTGGTCACATCACACGCTTTTTATCATGTAAATGGAAGCAAAGGCAGATGTATTTCAATAATAAGCTACTCAGCTTTGCAAGGATAGCTTAGTTTCTGTAAGAAGAAAAAAATACAATTTCTTGCAAAACCAGTTGGAGCACATATTTTTCTTTGGGGAAATAGCTGTGGATAACCAGTGGTGTCTTACTGCCCTCTGCTGGGCACAAACTGAATAAAGTCTGCCGCCTAACTGCTGGACAGCAGCTCTGCCAGAAATTAAAGACCTCCATCTGTATTTTTAGATTTCTGTAAGCAAACTGATCACTTGTCATCAACTTTCAATCAAGAGAAGAACAAAATAATCAAGCGCACCATTAATTTATTCAATATTCATGTGGCAATATAATCATGATCGGCATATAAAATATGTACAGAGCAAATCATTTGTAAAAATGACAGATAATGCTGAAAAGTGTATGTGCTTATATGTAGAAGGCGATAAGATCTCAGCAACTTGTGTCTTCATGGAACAATCACTGATCTTGGGTATCAACATCTCAAATGTACAGTTTCTTGTAAATAATTAGCACATTTGAGGTCTAGCTGATGCTCTGAGGTTATGAAAGGCTGCAGGTGGACGGCTTGGACTCCCTTCCCTGAGTAATGAAAGAAAAACAAAAAGTTAAAAACAAGAACTTCCATCTGCAAGTTGTATTACAAAATACAGTAAATCCTAAAAGTGTTTCCAAATGAGTCTGTCATCTTCAGCCAAAAAAGAAAAACAAGTTCACAGAGGATGGGTTTCCATGACAACTGTGTACCTACACGTGATCCAGTGAGCATGCTACTGATGCCTAAGCTTTCCGGGTACCTGTTGTCTCTGCTGCTGGCGTCTGTATTCTTCTTCACTGGCAGCCAGAGCCTGAGCCAGAGCCAGATCCTCCTGCTCCTGAGGGCTGAGACACAACACACCCACCAACCTCAGCACAACAGCCTCAAGGAGCCACGCAAATACACACTGTGAAACCCTCATTTATTTTGAGTGTCACCTCTTAAAAAGTGTTAGAGAATATTATGCAACTGAGTTACACTATTTGACACAAAGGAAACAAAGGAAATGCTTTCTGTTTGGAACTAAGGAAAGCTGACACTCCAATCAGAAAAACTGGTATCATGGTGGTGGTGACTGGCTTTCTTTGGTAATCTTGCCTTTCTTCTTCAGTGTATGCTTCCACTAAAGATGCAATAATTTACCCAAATACATTTTAACTTTAAAGCAAAAAAAAAGGAGCCTTGTTGTTGCACATTAGGCAGGAATGTGCATTTTACGGGCTGATTGCTCATACCACATAAAGGTCTGTTTAGATGGCACAGAGAACCAAAAACACTATAGATTAAGTAAAATAACATGTTTATGCATTTATCTAACTTTAAAATGATATCTAATGAATCCTTTTATTCCCTTCTCTTGGCTCTATCAGAGGGTTAATATCAGCCATGCCCAACCAAAATAGGCGCAAATAAGAACCAAATGAAAAAACATTGACCGTATCAAGTTTCTGAATTACGTGGCATTGCGTTTATTTTTATTCGCTCTTTTGTTTTCTCAGAGCAAACACACAGCAGATGGCCAATTGGTCAGAAGGAATAGTCACCTCTTAAGAACTCCCGACACTACAGCAGGGGACACATACAAAAGTATTATTTCAATGGCTCAGAACCTCTGGCAGACAACTGAAATCTGAAATGTTGAACATAGCACTCCTTTAGTGCAGGTTGTGTGCTTAGCTTTTTTTACCATGATGACCTAACCACCTCCAAGACAGTAATTACAGCACAAAATGTTTGCATTCAGTTTTACTCAGCTGGTTGGAAGTCTTCCTTGTGGGGCGGCGGTCAACTCAAATATTTTCCATCTCCTATCAGTAGGAAATGTATTAAATAATAGAGGACTGTGGAGGAGTGTGTTGACATTATAACACCAGCTACACTCGTGGTCCCCTCTCAAAAACTCACACAAACACATGTGCTTGGCAGTGAGTAAAAGAGTCTTTCATTTCATTCTCTGTCTTTAGAACCTAATTTCTGCCAGAAACAGCAGGTGACTGAACACTGTAACACTGACCAGCAGCCAGAGCTTTTCCATAAAAGTTTTTACCCTGCACTGACTAAAATGCCTTTCAGTTCATTAGGTAACGCCTCTAAGTATTGAACAACCTTTACTCGGAGCTAAAATGCAGTGAGAAAATGCTTCTTTGCATCTTTGTGGAAAGAGCAGTCTGAACTGATAGGAAGCGGTCGGCTCACCTGAGGACCGGCTGGACTGTTTGCCTGGAATCAGCCAAAGACATTTCCAGCGCCCTTTGCAGAGCCTGCTCCTCCGTCTGTAATGACAGCACCAGAGCAGTTTGCTCCCGTCAACTTTTAACTCTGTTTTTTTGTTTTTTTTTAATGAGGTGCCGTCATGTCAGTCGTATTTATACCATGCCGGCCTGAAACGATGCCGATGGTGGTATTACATTCTGTGCTGAAACTGAAGTAGGAATCCTCGGGGTAGAGCTGAAAAGACCCGGACACAAAAGCAAAAACATAAGTATATCGTAGATCTATATAAACGTGTTAAATACAAGGCAGTGCTGGACGGCCGTACTCACCCAGTGCTGCGAGGTCGGCTGTTTGCACTCACACCATTAGACACAGGTCTGGGATTTCCTGAAGCAGATGAGCTGGAACCAGAGGCAGAGGAAGCACCTTGGGTCCTCATAGTAGCGGCATGTCTACAACAAACAAAGAAGATAAAAATTGAAAATATTAGCAACCCTTGCTGTGGCTCAGCAGCAGCAGGATGAGTGCAGCAACGGTACCCACCCCGCTTTGGACAGAGGCTTCCCATCAGTCTTACAGTCATGGTCTAAAGGGTGCCGGTGTTTGAGGCAGTAGTTCAGATGACATTGATCGCAGGTCACTCGTATCATCTCTTTCTGCTTGCAGCCTCCTTTAGAACATTTATTTGTGAAAATCTGAAAGAAAAAGGCTTGTTGTTATCGCTGTTGTTAACACACTCTCAGAGCTTCACATGTTTCACATGTTTCACCTTTCTCTTTCTCTGTGCAGGGTCTGATTTGCAATCCCGGTCAATGTGTTCACCGACTTTAATGTCAGGCATCTCTCCTCTCTTGATGGGAATTGGGATGTTACATAAGGGACACACTGGGACCTGGACATCCTATAAGAAAAGATAACAGTTATTCAGTTAAAAAAATCTCAATAAAAGAATTAGGATTCACTTTATCTCACAACAATTCTTTGACCACAACATACAGTTACACAGCAGTTCTCTCATACACACATACATATAAATAATAAAGTGTCACTTCACTTCAGAAAGATGCATTGTGTGTTTGTGATTATGAAGCAACAGTCTCTCATTTGTATGCTGAACTAATAAATGTTTCAGCCTGTAAAGGTGGTCCCAGTCAACAAGTAATTACATTTTTAGAATAAGATAGATCTTTTTTATTATTCTATTTTTTTTTTTTTTAACCAGGTACAGAGTTGAAAGAGCTTACCAGGTTCAATACATTCAAGATCGCTCAGTGTAGGCAATACATTTTTATCCAAGAAGCTGAAATGTGGGCCAATATATAATCTTAATATACATATACATGTATTTTGAGCCCATTAAAAAGGATCTAATTGATTTCTATCCTTCACACATTAATTACATGAAGAGTAAAGGATCACTTACTTTTTTGTAGGAAGATGTGCATTTGTGATTTGCATAGGTTATGTGATCTTTGCAGAAAATCTCCTGACAAGCATCACATCTCATTGGAAGAAAATCTGAAATGTCAAAACATAATTTCAATCAATGAAGAGTGTTCAGTTTGGTCGGGAAACACTGTAGTCCTTTTAACACAGGACCCACCTAAACGTTTGCAGGTCTTCTCAGAGCAGTGCTCTCCCAAATCTGGAAACTCCATGTTTGACAACAATCTTGTCCAGCCTACAGGGTTCAATAACAACTCTTAGGAGAACACAAACAACAGGAAAATAAGTGCCCTAGCGGAATTTATGGCAGATCTGATCAAGGCTGATCTCACTTGAGTCATTGTAAACTCATAAGTTATGAGTCAGGTGGATACAAGTCCTGTAAACAACTAGTTTGTTCTATTCCGAGCTAACCAGCTGGCAAAGCTAACCTAAACGATTAGTGACAGTAGAGAGGTTACGTAACCACTACCCTCATATCGAGCACGACTATTTCGGGCAGAGAAAAGACTGTGACAAACTAATATAATGAGATTATGTCCATCGCTATCGGTGATGTCAGTTTATCATAATAATATTATGAGACACAGAGAGATAGCAAAGACTAGCAACCAGCTAGTACACTGAAAAACACAAAAAGCTATGTATTTTTCAACTTTTCTCAACATCGTAAATGACTTCAATACAAATGTATGTACCTTACACTGTCCCTTTACAAATGTACCACTAAAGGCAAAAAAACATTTGTAATACGCTGTTTTTGAAAGGACTACAACTGTTAGCTTGCTATGCTAGCAAGATGAATCAGCTAACCTCAGATATTCTTCAAATTCTACTCACCAGTTCAGGCTTTCTTGGTATAATTTCGTGTTCTCAACAAGTAACGCTGTTATCTTATATTATCCTGGGGAATTCAGGCTTCTCTTGTTCCTCTTGGTCTGTTGTTTGGAAACATATCCCTGAGAACCGTTGTCAGGCCACTGTCCGCAGGGCCCCAGTGTGTTTAGGTGTAACGCGTACGCTCCTCCTACGGAACCACGTCCGGTGACGTCAGAAATGAACAAGTCATCGTGACTATGATGTTACATGTGAGCTTTAGGAGAAGTAACATGAAGGTACCGGTAGAGTCTGGAAAGATCTAGATGTTTTTTACATAATTTACTTAACAATGACATCATATTTTAAAGCAGGAGCACAAACATGACAAAACGTTTTTAAAATTTTTTTTTTTTTTTTTTTTACCCAATGACATGTTGTAATGCCAATTTGATGTAAGAAGTGCCCACTTTTAGGGATTTTTTCAATACCCCTCCTGTATTTCCCAGTGTTTGGTGATACAATTAGAAATTATGCAGCAGTGTGGTGATTTCAATCCTAAAGTAGAATAGGCAGAGAGGATGGATGGGTTTATATTAAATCCATTTTTCAAGAGTGCCAGGACAGAATAGCTCTTCTATTAATTCTAAGCTTCTCATGTGAGCAATACTCAGGACTCTGATGTAGGCTTTAAATGAGTAATTAACATTCATGTGAAGCAAACTGTTATGAATTTATTGTTGCCAAGATATCCAAGCTCTGATGCAGCAAAGCAGCAATTATTCATGATTTTGCCTTTGCAATATTTCATATTAATTGTATGTTTCATAATTGGTGTTTTTTACAGAATGATTCTTATAACCTTTTCCAGATCTTGATTGTCATTGCCATCAAACTATGTTGATATTGACAGGATAGTGTGTGAGTGACATAGATTTTTATACAAACATAATGAAAGCTTGTGATATGAAGTGCCCTTTTCTCTTCAATAAATCTGTCAAGTATTTATCAGTTCTAATTGTAGAAACACTATTTCTGAGCATCTCAGATCTGAATTAGATCATCTGACACAAGAGTCCCTTTTGGGCTTCTCTCGATTGTAGTACAACAAACAGAACAACAAAAAGGCACTTCATGTGTCTTGAGTATTGTCATTTAGAATGCAGATTGCTGTCTTTTTTCTGGCAAGGGATGCAATCAAGTTCCCTCCACTTTTCGCGATTCTGCTTTCCAGCTGTTATCTTTCAGCTGGCTAATTGCTCACAGCAAGGTGCTTGTATCTTAATTCACTTATCCTCATTAGTCATTCTGTCTGCTGCTTCTCTTCAACTGACCAGATGTCTAACTCCAATACATGTCCATAAATTTAAAACAACACAAACTATCTTCTCACAATACTCTTTTTTTAACCCTCTTTATATATAGAGGGAGTTTGTCCAGTTGTCACCCAGAAAGAATGACAGTGTTGACTTGTTTTTAAGGGCAAACATCTTGCTTAATTACATGTTATTGATTTTTTATGGCCATCCACATTATCATTACTGCTATAAAAACTATAACTGTTATATAAATCAAATTAAAACCAGTACTATCACTATGACTGATCCTATTATTGAAATCTTCTAGATTACTATAATTTCCAAAATTGCTTCCAACAAGTAGTCATCCTTGTGGGACATGACAATAAAACTAGCATGTTACTTTCTTGTGAGAATAGGAGGGAGCATGTTCTGTGATAAGAAACCATAGTGCTGAAGGGAATACAAAAAAAGGTGTGATGTGACTTTTTTGATAAACGTTGAAGCAGTTTTGAATAGCTCCAAATTCATTTGAGCTTTTGTAAAGCCTAACAGACATTTCTGAAGTAGACAAAAAGTCATTTCTTATTTTTTATTTTAAAGAATAAAGCTTTGCATTTTTAAAAAAGATTTTTTCAAAAAAGATTTTAGCATATGTCTTTAAAGTAGAAATAAAATTAAAGGCAGCCATGTCCTACTTAGAATGTCTGACCCTTGCTGTTTTTCTGCTTAAACACTTTATTTATCTAAAACAATTTATGCTTCACTCATGTTTGCTCAGCCTGGATATGAAACAAATTAAGAAATAAATCGGTAAAATATCACAGCTTTCCTCCCCAAAACATACCAATGAGTTGCTTGTTCAAACACACGTTGGACCTGTAACTGTAATGAGATGTGAGGAATGTGCACCATCTAGTGGCTGTGAGAAGAACCGCAAGTGAGGAGCTGCTGTGTTGAAAGAGATGCTTTTTAAAATGAATATACAGTAATTCAAGCCCAGCTGCGATCATATTCTGACCACAAGAAAGTCAGTGTTTATGACAGACTAGTAAAAAAAACAATTTGTGTCACCCATTGAATTAGAGTTTTTCATAAAGTTCCAGAGTCTCTTTTTAAAACCGGTATACCAATGTTATGTTCAATGACTGTAGCATTTAGTATGGAAGATAGCTAGCTGGAGATAAGTGCCCCACTGGCTGTGCAGCAGGGACGTTACCTGAACTATACGAAACTAGATGCTGCGGAAGTTCATCACTCATTTTTTGGGACGGTATATAACAAGCATTGCATTGAACAAAATACCTCATGGCACATTCAGTCTGGCCACCGCTATTTTATTTTAATTTGATGTACCTGGTTCCTGCCAGTGATACATTTTTACTGCAACCTTTTCAAGATCTAAAGCAAACTTCATGCGGCCTTTGCGAAGTAAGTCAAGCTATAGAGTATTTGGTGTGTGTGCTGTGTTCACAGCAGGCTACATTTTACCGCTGGTTGGGTTTTTAACTATGTTGAGAATTGATTTAGACTGGATAAAAGTCCTAATGCACATAATTTCATGGTCCTGGAATTACAATTTGGGGGACTCTGACAAAATTATCATCACTGGCATGCCAGCTGGAAAAATATTTATGCGCTTCTTATCTTTTAAATTATTTAACCCCTAAAGAGTCTTTGAAAGTGCTCGAGTTCATGGAAATGTGCATAACTCAGTTTTATTAAAAAGTGTGATAGAGCTATATAACTCCAATATTACAATCTGGTATTAATTATTCAGCTCTAGGTCCAATAATCCAGTCACAATTTACTAAGAGAGGTTTTTAGATGTTCATAGGTTTAAGTTTGGACAGTTTTTTTCAGATGAGAGGGAATAATGAAGTGAAACTGACCTCAGCTTTGAGGTTAACTCTCAAGCCGATAGCTTAAAGTGATTGCTTATTAGAGAAGAGAACCTTTTGGTTTAATGCCAGGCTTCATGATGTCTTTGCAGGTTTTACCAGTTGATGGCAGCAGGACTCTTACTTAAGTTACCACTCAATGTGCTGCAGAGGAAATGTTAATAGAGGGCCCCTTAGATCATCACCACAGCGTACCGTTGTGATCTACAGGAATCTATTTAGCACAGAACGTAAGCTAAGCTATCACAAAGGAGGATACAACAAAAACAAATAGAATATCGGATTGCAATTTGTAACACATTATTGATTCTCAGAAACTGAATCTCTGCTTCCACTGAGATGGAGTGCACATGCACAGGTTTAGGGGTTAAATACACTTTACATATTCCTCATCGGCCAGTTAAAGCACCTCTGTGAAAGCAGGAATCTTTGCATGTTTGGGGCATTAAGGTGTCTTTACTGTGCCATTCCAAAGTGAGAATAATTATTCATCAGAATAAAAAACATTGTAGCTAGTGGGCAGTCTTACAAATAACAAATGTTCCCACAAGTTCACCCCAATGTCAGAAAGACCAGAGAAAATGTGAGAAACCCAGTACGTCTCAAATTCTGCAGAAATCATTTAACATTTTCATGATAAAAGTCACGAAAGTACAATCTGAAAGGCATCAAGCTTTTTGGGCTGTTTTGGAAAGGGTTTCTAAAGAAGTCAGTGCATCTTAGTTTTGCTAAGTTGCATCTGAACAGACCACAAGATATCTGGAACAGAGAAAATCAAAAGCTTCTCAAGTTTTCAGTGTTGCATTCTCTCTTCACTATGCAGATTTTAGCTCATATGGAAAAACAATGGGTAAGTGATCAATAAATCCACCGAAGTACAATTACAACTCACATTCCTTAATATATTTAAATATCAGACGAACAGATATGAGGATTTTCAGCAGGAGCACATACTAGTGTTTGCAAAGGGTAGATATTCCCTCCTTTTTTTCAACACTTGCATCATTAGTTTCCTGTCCACAGCCAGATGGCTTTTTACACACAGTGCCATCCACACACCCACAAAGCTTTCTCAGATGTTTTACAGACCTTGAACTTTTCATTTTTAGCTTTTTTGTAGGAGTGCTTTCAGACTTCCAATAAACTATAAATAGACTTCCAAAGTTGTTCATTGATTCATTCACTTGGGTTTTACAAGAGAAAAGAAATTGTAGAAAACTATTAATTGTATCCTCTTCAAACTTTTTTCTCATCTTAAGCAATATTAAGTGTTCCTCTTTGTCATTCTGACTCGTTTTTGGCCGAGCAGTATGTTCCACTTTTATTTCTACACGACATCTTAACTAAAGCAAATCACTGAATGAACTGTCCGTGGTTGCTCCAGATGGCCTTTATTGATTAGGTGATGATGAAATCCACACATATTTATCATTTCTTTTATGGATCCAGGTGAAAATCCTTAACACAAACAGCCACTAGAGGGCACAGCAGGTCTTCTTTATGCCCAACTGGCAATGAGGGTCTTATGAGTTTGTTTAAGATAGCCCCAGTGTTAGGGTCAAGGCTACTGAAAGGTATCATGTTCAAGAGTGTGTTGAACAGATTGTAACCAGAATGAAGAATTTAAGACATCATGTGGTGTTTGCATTTACAAAGAATGGGATAAAAACCGAAGTAAACTACCCATTCAGACAATATTTGTTATTGTCTGATTTTGTAGTTTGTCTGGATTTGACCTCTTTGGGGGAACAACATGATGGCATTGTCTAAAGGGTGCAAAGCAAACACCTGTAAATGTATATTTGTGATAAAACAAATTTTGTCTTGTTTTGTTCCAGTGTCCTTACAATAAATATCTTGTATTTTTGCTGTTTGTTTTTTTGGATACAGAGTGCAGTCATGGCTCCTTCTGTCAGATCTTTGTTTTTTGAACAAACAGAAAGGGACTGTTTGCAGGCCTACCATCAATTCCAAGTTGGCTACCACCAAAATAAACCATAAACCTAAAGCCTGCAGCCCCTAGTTAACTTTATATATATATTTTTTTTACTTTGAATTAACTCTACCATTCAGAACTCTAAACACTATAAAGATTCCTCACGTTTGCCTTTTTAAAAAATAGGCAGCGTTAACTTGACATGTGGGTAGTTTGGAGGTTTGTGATGCTCCACATGAGACTTCACATGTGTCAACTACAAGTCGTGCACACACACACACACACACACACACACACACACACACACTAATGCACAGGCTCTATATTAGCTGAAATAACTCACAGTGACAGGAAGACTTGTTTAAATGCACCTATTCAGATCCCCCCCCCACCCCCACCCCCAATCCACACACATTTGGGATTATATGCAGGGTGGCTTAAAATTCGGAGAGGCTACACTTTTTCATATTCCTGTAGAGTTGAATTATTAGATTGAAGTTGAATAATAAGCACTGAGTCAAACAGCACACCCTTCATCTGCGGAGCTGTAATTAACGGGGGCAAAATGCAGGCGGTGGCGTAGGGAGGAAAAAAAATGCAAATTATTCTGCACAAAGGCTCCTCACAAATTGGCGTCACCATTTCTCAAATTATATCATTACTATATTTTGAAAATGTTAATCTGTTGAGCGGATTTCCCGGGGGAGTTGAGTAAATTAGTTCTATTTCCGAGACTGCCTCTCTGCAAAGGCACGGCAGCGACAAGCACCTCTGATTTGCTGATTACAATTAGACTCCCCAGTTTGGGCTCCTTCAAGCATTGATAATTTTCGGCATATTAAGCACGTTTTAGCAAAGGTGATAAGTCAGTTTTAATTGAAATGAAATTATTATTCTAATGGAAGTTTGGTTATTATTATTAGGAGGCACTAGTCATTCTAGCTTCATTTTTAATATATAAATGCTGGGGAGTTAGAAAAAAAGATTTTGAAGGGCATTAGGGTGTCAGGATTGAATGAGGTAATTTGAAGGGAATTACTTTCTCTTCTATCAGAAATGAACTGAATTAAAAGTCCAAATCAATCGCTTTCACTTCTCCATTCTACTTTGACAGCGGCACAATTACAGATAATTAGATGGGAGGAAACTTTTAATTGTGGGATTAGAGGGAGAGAGAATTTGCAGGATCAGAAGAAAATATCTTTTTTCAGAGTTTCTTGCTTAAAATCGAATCAAAGGATTTGCGAGCTTAAAATGGCAAGTAGCCCTTTTTTCAGCTGTTTAATTGGAACTGCATCTAGTTCATCCAAATCATCCAAAACAATTAATTTAGATTTAATTCTATAATTATCATCAAATCGAATAATGTGCAACCTAATTTAGATAGTTAAAAATTAACGTGCGTGAAGTTAATTGAGTAATTAAACTCCTAAACTGCTGCCTATTAATTTGCCTGCCTAATTAAAAATGAATGTGATTCTATGCTGTTAAAGTGGGCGTCAGTGTTGGATGGGTTTGTTGATAAGGCCTCTGTCTTTTTTTGGGAGGGTTGGGAGTGGGGAGTTGGAGTGTATCCGTTGAACACATCATGTTTCCAAGCCCATAGATGTCAGTTTTCTGAGTATCTGCTGTCAGGTTAGCTGCAAAATATCAACATGTGTGAAAGGGAGCCAAGAGATTAAACAACACAAAAAGTTGGCATTAAATTTACTTTAGAGGATATGGTAAGATCTTATTTTTTCATAATACAGAAACTTTACTGAAGGAATGAAAGTCCTCGATTATATGTTCTTTTTCCTCCTTGTGTGGCGTGTGTGTGATGGAGATCTGGAAGTGTCCCATCACTGCTGTTTCCCTCACACCATTGATCACACTGCTAAATACAAACAACCCAACAGCCACTCCAAAGAGATTAAAGCAGCATTTAACACTCAAATAATGCTTAAAGAATCTGTGAAATTTGGCTCAAAGTTAAGAAAACCACAAATATTTGTTGGTGAAGCTCTGTAAACTTAAGTCTTTATAATAACTTAAGTTTATAGAGCGTCATATATGACCACCTTTAAGTCTTTGGACAGAATTCAAGTACACCTCTGATGGATAGAGGGCCCTTCAACAGCCAGGCCATGCTTGAGGTGAAAGGTTACAAAGGTTCCAGACTTGGAGTGGAAAAAGCCAAAAGAACCATAACATGTAATATTAATGTTTATATTAGTTTCCAGCAATCTGTTTGGGTCTGTTACATCAAAACAGGACAGATTTTAGGTTAAGGCAGCCGGTGGAAGGACATTATGTTTCCCTTGAAAAGTGATAAAAACCTATTCACATCTATTGCAAAGTAGATAAATGCTCAAATTAGTTTGTATCTGTCAGGATCAACTGAGTGCATCTCCTGGCATAGAAAGTTAATCAATTCGTCTAAAAAGCATGTGTTTGTATTGATTGAGATAAACAAAATGCAGTTATGCATCCTGCCAAAACATCACAGAAGAAGGATGAATTGCTACATTTCATTGTTTCTCTTGTTATTATTATTATTATTATTAGTATTACTATTATTATCTTTTACTTTGAACGGATGCCAAAGGGGTCAGCCTTCAAAAGGTAACAAGGCAGGACAGCATCGTGGCTGAACGCTAGCCTTGTTCGCCCTATTATCGGGTTAATTAAAGCTGGAATCTGACAATGTCACCCGTTGTAGAAAAACGGATTTAAATGCAACGTCTCTGGAGACTGTGTCAAGGGCTGCTTTTCACTGAGCTCCTGCGCCCGAGTTGGGGGGACTGCATGGCTTATATACATGTGCATATACAGCCGTATGAGTGTGTATGTGTGTGTGTGTACGGTTAGTTAGAATTGACGGAAAGCAATTATTGAATTTTAGATGTTCAGAAGGAAATGAATGGGGAGGAATTATTCATAAGATTGTGTCCGGGTGTGTTGAAATTAAAGTTAAAATACAAAGAGCACGCTTCAAAGACAAGCTTGCTGCTGCCAAAGAGGAAGATGGATAAATTGACGAGATCATTTCTAAGGAGTTCATTAAAATGGAGGGCTACCCACTGAAATACAGAGGGTTGTTATTTGGGCTTGGGGGTCAAGTGACGAGCGGATTATATACTTCCTCATAATAATATTAATTAAACAATTTGCATGCTAATAGGGTAACAATTATCGCAGCTTCTGTTGAGAGATCCAGGTTATTACAACATGCCAATCCGGGTGCCAAGGGTCAGGGAATGAGTGGGGTGCGAAATTTCAACTCTGATTAACATTATGACAGCGCCAGACTAGGGATAAATAAAGTCGAATTAATTATTTGAAAACCTAATGAGCAGATAGGATTCAGGACGGTCACATACTGAGAGCAGGGGTTGCAGGAGCAGAGGAGCCTTTCCATTTTGTTTACTGACATGAAACGTTGAATGTCAATTGTGAAGATCATCATTACTATTATTTTCCTATTTTATTTTAATCTCTTCTACTGTCTCTCGTGGTTGAACCCCACCGTTACGTATCCTTCATTCGTGCAACACATGCCTGGTGTGTTTTATAGCTTCGTGCCGTAAAATACACCCAGAGTTTCACCATCACTCAACATGTCGTGCAACAAAGAAGTTTTCTATACTCATTTAACGTATTGCTGATAATTCAGTAAAGTTAAATTGAATCTTTACCAGTTGTCATGGTGGGAATAAGGGCTGGGGGCAGACCTCCCCTGTCCATAGAAATGTGTCCTAAAAGAAAAAAGACTGGATTTGTATAGCTGTCATTTTTATTTGCTCTGCAAGATAAGGGAAAAAAGCTTTTTTTAAAGTGATTTTTTCACCTAACAAACTGAAGTTAAAAAAATAACTTTTGAAATACATCTCACTTTTGTTTAAATTAAAGTAATGTGCATCCACTCCGAAGTCGTAATGTGGAGAAAAGGTCCTGGAGCTTCTGGTTTAATCTATCCGCCTGCAGCCCTCTGTTCCGGGGAACAGTGAGCCCTTCCTCCCGGTGGGTCCCCCGTGTAGTTGCGATGTAGTTCTTATCAAAGCCCTCCTGTCTTGTTGTGACAGCTCTGATATTGTTTATTGAGGTGGATGTCAGCTTTAATTAGCAATCGATACGCGGAGCGTTTGCAGAGCGCGTCTCTGACGTCAGCGTCCATTACCGCCTCTCATTGGATCTCATATTCCCAGAGCCTGGGCTAATTATTGGGAGGTTCATGTGGATAAAGTACAGCTCATCCCTCCCTTCACATCATGTCCCCTACTCGTTGGCCACACTCGCTGCATGCTTTTTAAATTCCCATCACCGGCCTCCAGACGTCGTTTCCTTTTGCCTGCGGGATGATGGACAGCAGGATACTGGATGCACCTCACGCCCAGTTCGGAGGCTCTCTCGGCGGGATGGTGGGCTTCCCGTACCATCTCAGCCACCATCACGTTTACGAATTAGCAGGGCATCAACTTCAATCTGCGTCTGCGGTTCCTTTCTCAATAGACGGATTACTTAATGGTTCGTGCACGGCTTCGGTGGGTAATTCCAACCCCCTCTTGTCTTCGGGCTGCGGGATGAATGGAGATAATCAGCAGTACAAGCTGACAGGTAAGCCACATTGTACACAACACAATAACCTCTCTCCTCAAGGTTGGCCAGTCGCACAAAGACGTAAACATAAAGAAACAAAGACAGGATATTGCGACAAGTTGTCTTCGTCGTGGGTTTAAAGAGCGAGACAGCACCTCCAGCTCTGCGAACACGCGCTCCTCAGATCTCACAACATGTGCATTTGGAAAGCGAAAGATCCATCAGAAGAGAAATAATAAGTCCGTAAAGCGGTGGTTGAAAAATGACTGGTGTTTACATTTTAAGGTCTGGGTGACACATGGATGTGGAGGCTGCAGCGTGCACGCTCCCTGCAACATTTCTGAGCATCCTGTTCACCTTTAAACTTTTGTCAAATCGTTTAGCCAATGAAACAAATTCTGCTTTAATTGTAGAAAAAAATATGTGTGTTTATTTTACATTTTTTTTATGTTGATCCGTTGTTTATTTCTGTTCTGCTGTCAGACTCGGGGGACCCAGACAAAGATAGTCCTGGCTGCAAGAGAAGAAGAACTCGCACCAATTTCACTGGTTGGCAGCTGGAGGAATTAGAAAAAGCTTTTAATGAGAGTCACTATCCGGACGTTTTCATGAGGGAGGCTCTGGCTCTCAGATTGGACTTGATAGAATCAAGAGTTCAGGTAAATATTTACTCATTTGATATATATATTGTCTGGCTCGTTGTTTAGCATACTTTATTATTTATCCCTGACGAATAGGCTACTTTTAAAACTATGCCATACAGTATCAAACCGTAAAGGTGTATTTAAATTACATGGGCAAATATTAGGTTGAATTAAACACAGGTATTTCTAAAAAAAAATCTAAAACTCTATTTGAGAATGAGTGTCACCTGGTGTTAAATTGGCTAAATTAGTTCTAAATATATTGGAATTGGACATATTTGTCACTTTAAAAAAGCCAGCTTTTTAAAGTTTTTTTAATTAAATTTTCTACACATGAGCAAAAACTTTGAGACTTGATTTTTTTTTCCATTATAATATTTTTTAATAAAAATCGTTCCACTCAAAAAGTTTTTTCAAGTATTGACATATATAATATTTCCTATGATAATAAGAATAATTTAAAAGAAAAGATAATAATGATTAGAATGAAAATTAAAACAATTGTTGCTGCCCTATCTGATCTATAACAAAGACACTTCTAAATCTCCTTCCAAAACTTCATTTGCTTGATTGACCATATTTCAATCAGAGGCCCAATCAAAGGCCTCCAATCTCAGCAGAGCACCATTTGTTTAATTTCCACTTCGCTGACACACTGACCAGCCTTCTGACCTCTGCATGTCAGAGGCCCATCACCAGCACACCTTCGCACGACTCACGGATCTTTCTTGTTTCTGCTCTCGTATTTTCTTCCTTAGGTCTGGTTTCAGAACCGCAGAGCCAAGTGGAGGAAAAAAGAGAACACAAAGAAAGGTCCGGGTCGACCTGCCCACAACGCCCACCCCACCACCTGCAGCGGGGAGCCCATGGACCCGGAGGAGATCGCCCGGAGAGAGCTGGACAGGCTGGAGAAGAAGAAACGAAAACAGGAGCGCCGGCTGCTCAAATCCCAGAACAAGCTCGCTTCTGGGGATTTATTTCACACCCCGGGATCAGACAGCGACAGCGGGGTGTCGCACATCACCGACAGTGACCACAACACGTGCCCCTCCTTTGACTCTGTGGGGGGGAGCCAGTCGAGCTGCGACCAAACGCCTCACCCTCTGCAGACCCCGAACCAGAACCAAAGACACTTGGACCCGGACGCTGGTGGGTCCGAGCTGGACTCGCCCGACCCCAGCCAGCGGTCAAGCCTGTGCTCCAACACCGGCAGAGGCTCCGGCCTGCAGAAACTCAACCCTTTCAGCGTCGAGAGCCTCCTGTCGGACTCCAGACCGAGACGCAGCTCCGCGGCCTTACCGTCCTCGCGGCCTTTGATAGGGAAGGGTCACTTCCTCCTCTATCCCATCACGCAGCCGTTAGGATTCATCGTTCCTCAGACGGCCCTGAGGTCTGCATCGGCCGGGAGCTGCGACGGTGACCCCCCGGCGGACCGAGGTCCGGCCGGCGCGCGCACCGGCGCGTCCGCGAGCGCAGCGGGATGTAGGAGCAGCTCGCCGGACCCCGCGGACGCCACGCCAAAGGGTCAGGAGGGAAGGACAAGTTCACCGCACATGAGCCCGTCCAGGGCCGCCTTTTCCTCCGGAAAACAGACGTCTGTCATTTGCAGCGAGTCCGCTTTTGCGCACGAACACATGAGCCCACAGCTCAGCACGACGGTCGAGGCAGACCAAAAGGAGCGTTTAGGGAAACTGGACCACCCTGACCACCCCGAGTCTGGCCTCAGTGACTGTCCCGCACAAACTAACTCTAAAGAAGATGTCGACCTGGAATAAATCAACGGGGAGGGGGGTAAACAAAGAAGAAACATACTGATCTCGCCTCTAAACACCACCCTTTATTAGGCCAAAGCTTAACCAGAAACCACTTTTTTTTTGTTTCCATTTAAACCCACGGTTTCCCCCACTCTGCTGACATTTTGACAACGTGTGCCCTCCCTCTCCTTTCTTGCGAGTGTGTATGTGTGTGAGAGTCAGGAGTCACTAGATATCCTTTAGTGTGTGTTAACTTGTCAAAAAAAAAACACAAGATCAACAGAAATCCTCAAGAGCTGTAAGAAAGGTATTACACTATTTATATATGTAAGTTTTTTCTTAAATAAATCTATTGTATACAAGCTCCTCAAATCGTGTGAGACCTTAAATAGCAGCACATCCAGTGTTGGACCACAGTACAGTAGGAAGGGCTTTCTTAAGAAATATCATGTTGTACTTTGTATATTGCCTTAACAAATTTATTCATCTATAAGCCCCTACTGAAATGAGGTTACGAGCCTGAGGCGAAAAGGACCCGCTCGACTCCTGCAGAGTTTTGATATGAAAGTAATTATTTTCCCGGTGGCTACTGCAGGGGGATTCAGTTTATTTTAGCTCAAAGGGGGTTATAATACATTACCGATTTCTAGTGATATGAAATCACATAAACTTCCAAGAATAATAGAATTAGCATGAAAAGGCCTGGGTGTCAAATTGAAATAGGAAAATAATAGCCCCGGCAGCTGGGAGTGTGTGTGTTTGTGCATATTGGATAGGAGATGGGGATTCGTGGGGAGGCATTTTCATGAGCTTTCTTTTTTTTTTTTGGTCTTCCTCCTCTTTTCCCTTTCTCACCACTTTGTCAGGGCCCCTTGTAGCAGGGCTATATTAAGATAGATGTTCGATGATATCCCTCATTGTTCTGTCGCTTTACATTGATGTTTCTGTGTTATCAGCCTATTGATCATGCGTCGGCTGTAATAGGACGGGCTGAGGCAAACGTGCCTATTTACAATAGCAGAACACATTTGTTCTAATAGGGTTGGTGGTCCCCAGGGAAGTCATGTTGGATCTGGGACATCTGCTCCCTTTTGCAATATTAGCAGCGCTGACCATAATATCAAGCCGACCCTAGGAAGAAATGTGGAGGGTATTGCGCAAAAAAAAAAAAAACCTTGACAATCTAAAGCAGAAAAAAAAATCCAGCCCAGATATATGTTTGGAGATGCTTGTTGCACCCTTATTAAAAACCACAAGCCCTTTAGTGTTCTCTTTGGGTCTTGATTTGCAAATAAATCGAAAATAATGTGAGGGGTGAGCTTTACGTCTGAGCCGGCGCAAATTAATTTCTGAGCCAGTGTCCCTTTCAAAATATTTACATAAATTTCAACCCGTGCAGCTGTTTGCTCTGGAAAGCAACGTCTTATTAGGTTGGTGGGGGGCAGGGGCAGACAGCCAGCGTGGCACGCGCAACGAGCGCGCGCCGGATTAGGTCTGCGCGGCTGTGGGTTAAAGGTGACCCTGCGTGTCAGAATTATGGATCTTCTTATTCATTTTCTACAGTCCTCATTTCCTGTAACTGTTTTAATAAGTCACACGCGAGTTCAGAGAAATCTTTCAATGGAACCCTAATAACTGGAGTTTTTAAAAGCCAGGTTGCGATGTCAGAATCATTTTTCGAGAGAAAAAAAACTGAAAAAAACGCAGAACTGTTTCCGCAGATTAGAAATGAAATCAAAACATTCCTACGGTGCCGTTTCTTCCAAAATCGTGCATTATTTTTTTCCCCAAAAGGTAGAATAACCGGGGCCGCTTTCAAATCACCCTTCAGGTTCACGGGTGTGTGTTTTCCATGCTACTCTTAGGCTATATGGGACGTTTGCCCAGTTCATCCATAATTCATTAGCACGCTGAATAGGAGTATCGCTGGCTGCACATTGGTGGCCTAAAGGTGAAATTAGCGATTTGCTTAAGTAGTTAAGCTTTTCTTGCCTGAGAGCTGCACGCTGCATGATTCACGACAAACTATCAATCGATATGCCCAGGCAGCCTCCAGGAGATGTGTCGTCCATGAATCATACTTTATGAATTCAATTTATACCCGGAGAAATTTTCAATTTGAACGCCGGATCATTATGGGAGAGTGTAAATTGTTTTTGCTCTATTATGCATCGGACGCCATCATTTTTCTTTCTAATTACGGAGGTGTCAGGTCGGGCTGTCATGCAGACGCTGATTTTCAATTTAACTGATCATCATGCATTCATTTTCCCATTTGATAAATCTGCTATCTCGAAGCTTCTCCATGCCCGGAATGCTAAAAGAGAGGCACAGATTGGCAAAGTAATAGGGGCCTGTATGCGGCAATAAGTGCAGATCAGGCAGCTAATTTAGCACCTCCTGGTATTTCCATTTCCATTTCTCATTTCCAACTCTCAAAGGAGGAAAAGCAGCCCAAAGGCAGAAAGCTAGTAGGCTTTTCATATCGGAGAAAGACAGAGGAAAAAAGCCTACCAAAACGGCTTGTTTTCAACCACACATTCCCTAAATTAGGATATCAAGCTTAATTAAGGCTAATAGAGTTTTCTCAGTGTGTGTGTTAGTTTTATTTAATAGAAACAAATTTGCGCAATTAATTATGGCCGTGGTATTAAGAGTCTCATTTGCAGCATTCGAGCTGGAGACTAAATGAGCATCTTCAGGAATAAGCTTCTCATTTCCAAACCAAATGACTCACCAAATGTTTTTTATTCAGACTTTCATCACCGCTTTATTTCCAATATGTTATCCAAGTAAACTAAGTCAGATTAGACCTAAATGGCTGGATTTACAGCGCCGGATGTCTGGGATAAGCGAGTTTTTTAAATTATTGTCTCTTGCAGCAATTCTATCATTTTTCGTAATATATTTATAAGCTTAAAGCAGTCCAAAATAATCACGTGGACATTTATCATCCAAGCGAATGTGTTATTACTCGAAAGCATTTTCAAATAACAGTGACGGGGTGGGATTTACAAGTCTCATGCTCAAATCAACTCAAATGGACAATTGTGCTCTCCCCACAAATCCATCTGTCTGTACAGGCTACTCTTGTGCGCTTTGTGTTTCTGTAAGAGAACTTAAAGGCTCCAAGGGCTCAGTTTGGATAAGAAAGAACCGTGTCCCTTTAAAAAGAATCCTCCATGAAATAAAATGGCACTTGACATTTGGCTTCTCCTGCAGCAACTCTGCCATGCCTTTTAGGATTATTTTACATCTCATACTCATTAATGCGCCGGCGGATTTAATCATTCTTATCTTTCCTGTGCATACCTGGGATAAGCCTGAAATTACCATCTGCATTGATTTCTGGACAACCCTTAAAATTATTTTAATTACCTTTGAGTATTTGGTAAAAAATCCCCCTCATCAAAATGTTGCTAATAACCCTTCTCGGCTCAGATGAAGGTGTTATTGTGGAAAATTCCAATTTAGGAAAACTTGAACTTAAAAAATCCTGCCTAATTTAAGAAATCTTTAAAAGCAGGCATCTTACTGCCTGATGTTTTTAAATTAATTCAGTTGAAAAATTTAGATGCATCAAAGTTTTTTTTGTTTGATAATTTCTATTTGAAAGTTTAGAATGTTATAAATTCACATTGTGCCAATATAACCCCCCCCCCTCTGGCCATGATCTAAAATAATAGATAAATAAAAAGTCCAAGAAAATTATATTCCAAATATATCCTGTCCTGATTTGTTGATATGAACAGGGAAGCTATATTGAAAGTTTTAGTTTTTTGTGTACATATTTTGTGAAGCAGACTTGTTATGTCAAGTGTCATGTAATTGTTAATATTTAAGATCTTCTATGACCCCTTAAAAAAGTACAAACTATAATTATGCAGACTGAACGAAAAAATCGCAATCCCCTTTGTCAAAACTATACAAGACTTGAAGACCAAAAAAATAATAAAAAATGAAGACAGTGCCAGAAACAGCAGCCCCTACTGCCTTAACACAACGGTCGTTTTTATAAAACTAACATAAACTGACATCTTTGAGCTGAATACTGTGCAACAAGATGCAGAATTTTTGACTGAGCTGACCAAAGAACGGAGAACGATCGCATGTCGTACAGTTTTAATCTTGCTTTTCAGTATAACACTTGCATTAAGAAAAAATCTCACAAAGTAACTCAGCCTCTAGTCTTTGTCTAAGAGACCGCACTGTTAAGAGCGCTAACAGTGTTATGGCTGCCAGAGAACTGAATGGCAGAGTGATATGTCAAGGTCTGTGGCACTTTTCCAGGTACCTCAAAGTGATGTTTAAGAGCTCTCTGCTACAAGTTATTCTCAAGGGATGACTGCATGCTTTCTCATGGAATTGTCACTTCGACACTTTCATAAGAAATCCGATGACAGGATATTATCTTCCTACTTACACATATAATAATATTTAAACATATTACAGGTAAATACATGTGTCAAGACAACACTGAGGTAACATCTCAGACTGGTAATGCATGTACAAGTATTCATACAGACAAATGTTCACCTTATACAGTTTCTCTAAATACAACAGATGCAGGATCAAAACATTCACAGATTGATCACAGTGAGGCTCTCTGTATACTAAATTGAAAACTATTTCGCATGTGTATAAAGAAGTCAAGCTTAGCAATAAAGAAAAATGATCCAGCCTTTCATCTCAGTTTGGTACAGAATTCAGATATTCCTAAAGTAGCCTGTTGAGTTTAATTCAAACTGATGTCATCACTACTTCTTAGCTCTTCAGCCCAAAAGTTTGCAAATAAGTTTTACTTAGAATAAAAATAACTTTGGTCTTCTCAATACTTCAATGTGACCTGTAAATAATACCTTAACCAAAATGGATAAAGAAAAGGTGTGGGGCCAAAAGAAATGTGGGTTTCTCTAGCTTCTCCAAGTGAATTTGCGGCGAATAGCTGGAGCCCCTCGCATACAGATGACCTCCTCTGCAGGAGGCAGAGCCGAAGCACAGCAGAGAGGAAAGAAGAAGAA